GGCCAGGTGCTATCATGTATTTTGAAATCAAAATGACAAACCATTGCAGGAAATCAATTGACTCCAACCTCTGGATTTGTGCACCTCCAAATCTGTCCTTCACATGTACTACAGAGTTCTTTTCTAAAATACAAATCTGTTCATGCCACACCACCATTCCTGTGAACAATTCTTCCATGTATCCATGTAGTCACCAATTCAAAACACATTAATAACATGCTAGACACTATGCTATGTGCTGAACACATTTTTCCTCATGAAGCTTCCAGCTGGGTTGGGAAAATAGACATTAATTATGTGATAGAAGATATAACCTCTTATTTTTCTCTCCAGCCAATAAAGTTTAAACTCCCAAGCATAACGTAACAGTGTCATGTGTCATTATCTGTCCCCTGACTTCTTTATCCTCATCTTTGAACATGATCTTCCCCTCTCCAGCTAACAGAAACTTTCCATAGTTCCCTGATATGCCAACCTATGTCCTTCATGTCTTTGCATGTCGCTTACTCTTTTGCTTGACTCATTTCCCTCTTCTTCTTCCTGCTGGGTGAGCTTTTCACTTATCTACGATGACTTTACTGAAATGCCCCTTTGTTTGTGGCAGAGGGGTGATACCCTTCCCCCCACCTCAAAGCACCCCCCATGGTGCCCCCACGCCCGTCACTTGCAGCGTTGCGTGACAGTGATCTCCTCATGGGTCTTTCTGCTCTTGGGCTGTGAACTCTTCAAAGCCCAAAATAGCTGCATCTTATTTGCTGTCACCTTTCTAGATCCCAGCATAGAACTTGATCCCAAGTAGATGCTAGGAAAGGGTTGGTATTAAGTTGTTCTTCACAAGCATATTGAGTAAATGTGGAGAATAGGAAAGAGAGACATGCATGGAAAAGTGGGAAAAGAAGGTGATTTGGTGACATGAGCAAGATCATTTAAGGAATACTAAAGGCCAAGAGTTTTATGCTTCAAGGATCTTTTCAGTTAAATCCAACTAGAATTTTCTAATATGAGTCTATTTAGTTTAGCTCAGTGTGGATATTATGACACTGATGTTCAGACAAAGATTAGAAGATGGACCTCAGGCATAAAATCTTCACATGTTCACATGATGAGGAAAGAAGAATTCTTACCCTCTGTCATGTCTGGTACTGTGTGACATGCTGTGACATGTACCCAAGGAGATATCCACATGCGTGGCCCTGGATTCCCAGCCCAGTAAGGACAGCCAGCCTGCACCATTCCCTGCATCTCTAAGTTTCTCATGTTTCTTTTAGGAAAATGAAGAAAATGCAACTTTATAGTGATGGTTAGAACTATCAGTAGGTGATGATCTACAAGGGGGGTGGAGCTTTGTTCTCTGTTACTGGGAGACTGCATTGTGTCTGCCTCCCTGGTGGAGGTGACTAGCTCGTTTTTCATTTTGTGTACTTAGGATGTTAGTGAAGTGAGGGTCAGGGTATATTACAACAAAAAACCTGTTTACAATGTAAACTCCTCCTGGCCTTTTCTGGAGAGGCCATGTGCATTAAGCTATATGTGTCAGAACAGAACAGGGATGTTTGGAACATTTCTTTCCAACCTGTAGAGTGTATCAATGCCACAGACATGTCCACACTTCATCAGCAGGGCCCTCTGGATGCTGGGGCCTCTGCTGCCCACCCAGGCACCCTCACTGGTACTGGCAGGAAGCAGTGCGACGTCACAGTAAGGTGTCTGGCAGACATGGGCATTACTCCTGGTGTCATGTTAAGGATACAAGCAATGGAAATTGATCCCAAGGACATTTGTGTGAAATTAATTTTTTTTCACTCCTACAAATTTGTTTTTCATATCTGAATAGAAATGTTTGTTAAACTGCTTATGTAATGAACTGAAGGTTCCCTTTTGCCTGTATGCTTTACCTGTTGTTCAGTGACTGATGTGAATATGATCTCAGAGGGACGAGTTTAGCACATTCACCAAATTGATACTCTCCAGCCTTTTAAAATTCACTTTTTGAATGATAAACAAAAAAGCCCAAAGCCGGAGGGAGACTATAAGTAATGTAGAGATTTCAACTCTATAGCTGATGTTTTATTTAACAAAATAAAGGGATTGGGAAAAACTGGGACTTAGGCACATTGGGATTTGTTATTCTCCATATTTATTGCTAATAAATGTTTTATAACAAAATCATTTTGAAGCATTTTGTATAGGACCAGAAAATTTTAAGAATAAGGCCATTATGAATTGTTTCAATACAAATTTACAACTTGGCAAACTTGGCAGCATTTAAGAAAGGCCCCTTGGTTTGTACTGCTCTGTATATGTCTTTTCTTTATAAAATGTATTATGATTCAGATTCTTAGTCAGTGGAGTCTGGCTTTTGCCCTCATTACTTTGTATTGGGCAAATCTTACTTTTTAAAGTCTGGTTAAAGAAAAATTGAGCCAAAACATGAAAGATGAAGATGTTCAGAAATGTAGTTAGCAAATGGTTCATAGGGAGGAGGGTGCTTGCAGGACGCACTGTGTGGACTAGCTTGAACAGATGCCATGTTCCACTAATGCCTTTGTCCCTGGTCACTATGGCCTGCTGGGGGAAGGTCGAGTCTTTCTTGTCAGGTCAGTGTGATAGACCTCCTGCTAGCTTCTGCCACCAAGCACTTGTGAGCAGCTCTGACCAGGCTCATCTGGGGACAGGCCCTCGGCTGTGGCCACCACGCCAGGGAGGTGAATGCCAGCAGTGCGGTGGTCAGCTGAGGTGTGCCCCCAAAGATTCCCATCCCAGTCCCTGCGAGTATTTTACCTTACATGGCAAAAGAGGTTTTGCTCATGTGTAAGGTCAGCTCTTGAGGTGGGGAGATGAAGCTGGATTATGTGGGTGGAGGTAACCACAAAGATCCTGCAAGGGGAAGGCAGGAGGGTCTGAGGCAGAGAAGGAGGCGGAGCAAGGAGGCAGAGGTGGGAGTGACACTACCAGGAGCCAAGGAACGAAAGCAGGAAAGGCAAGGAACAGAGTCTCCCATTGAGCCGCCAGAAGGGACGCAGCCTCATCAGCACCTTGATTTTAGCCCAGTGAGTGACTTTGGACTTCTGACCTCTGGAAGGGCAAGCCAATAAATCTGTGTTGTAGGTTACTCTGTTCTTGGTGGTTTCTTAGAGCAGCCATAGGACCCTTACACAAACGGGCTTGAGACAGCATGAACAAGGGCTTGGCTGGGGAGTAAGTCCTCCCCCATCAGAGCTCGCTGCACTCACTGAGAGCTCAGGGGGAGCAAGGGTTAAGGAAGTCCTCGGCAGGGCTGGCTCTGAGTCAGCCTGCCTGGGTTAAAATCCTGGCACCATCTTTACTAGCAGTGTCATCTTGAGTGAGTGGATCTCTGTCTGCCTTTGTTCTGTCATCCGTGAGCTGGGAATGACAGTAGAATTTGCCTTGGAGGCACGTTATGAAATTTGACTGCCATAATCCACACAAAGTGTTTGCCCAATACCTGGCACTGAGTAGGCACACTATAAATATTGCCCCTTATTATAGAAGCCCTCGGCCAGTCAAAGGCTTTGCTCTGTGTTTGTGGCCACTGAATTTTATTAGCCCATTTAATGAGGCACTCTTTCCTTTGGGAACCACATGAATTATGCAGTTCTCACTCAGAGAAATCGAAAAGAAATAGCCCGTGACGTTGTGGCTAAATGCATGGTTTCTATGAGCACAGAAATACACGTGCACCTTTTCTGTGTAAGGAACAGGTCTTATCTCAGAAAGCCCTTAGGTTTGTGCTTGTGGTAAGAGGATTTACCTAAAACACAGAAGCCTTCTTAAGGTAAAGAGGACTGCCTGCTGTGGTTGGGGGTAGGGGACCTGTATGTAGGGTCACTGTAGCTCCAAAGTTATGAGAAATTGGAAAAGGCTGTACACCATGACCAGCAATTGGTTCCCGGTACAGTGACCACTCAGGGGAAGGCGGGCGGCTCACTCAAATTCTCTCCTCATTCTACAGTGCACTCTTATAATGAGTCCTTTTGGTATTTTCTAGTAGCTGTGTCTCTTTCAGTGGAACCTTGCATGAGTATCACTCAGCTCATACTAAACTGCCCCCTGTGGGTGGTATTCGAGTTGGTCAGGGGTTGCATTCCAGATGGAGAGGAGTGTGTGGGCAGAGTGGGGCAAGAAACCTGCAAAGAACAGTGGGATGGCAGATAGTTGAGGCATGCAGTGTGCACAGAGGGCTGGAGGTGAGGCTGAAATTGGCCACCAAGAGAAGAATGGAAGACCTTCTAGCATCCAACTTGAGAGGGTGAACTTGATCCCAGAGTGCACAAAGGTGTGATACTGAAATAGATATCATAGGAGGGGAAATAAAGGGTCCTGTGGTCCCCAAGTTTTGGAAATACCAGAGAAAACAAGAAAAAGTTCCTTTCCTTTAGGAATTCTCAGAGTCAGTTAATCCACTTTTGAATTTCTCAGAAGTGGAAACAGTAGAAAAGTAGAATGAGACCTGCAACTAAAGTATCAGAATAAAAGAAGAGTGGGTGGGTCTGAAGAGATATTCAGGAGGAGTGATGGAAAACAATGTTGACCCACCAGAAGGCGAGGTGGGCACTGAGGTATGCTTGGGAGGGAAGCCCAACACCACTACAGTTTCACGTTAGGATTTTAGGCAATAGTTAGGATTTTAGGCACTAGAGGAATAGAGAAGATGAAACTGGTTTTATAGGAAGATAATGGGATTTAAGTTGAATGGCATTTATTATGGACTTGTTTTGTTCATAATGCTGACAGATTAGCTGAGGGTGTCACTGTCCATAGACTGCAGAGTGGGGCAGAGCTGAATTAAAGCCATGGGTGTGGATGGTGACCTCCAGAGATAGGAGGGCCCCAGTAAAGTCAGTCGTTCACTTAGACCATTAATGTTGTGGTCATGGACAGAAGGGCAGACCCATAATTCAGATCTTCACTGCTGGTTCTGATAATCTGATGAGGATAATTGTGATGTTTATAAAGAAGCTCTATATCTTTTCTTGCAGAATCACTGCTTGTGCAATGACTATGAATAAGTATGTGGAAGAAAATGTGTCTCAAAAATCCTACACGACCATCAAGTATTTCATGAAGATGCTGAGCAGCGTCAGCGAGACCCTGATCTTCATCTTCATGGGTGTGTCCACCGTGGGGAAGAACCACGAGTGGAACTGGGCCTTCGTGTGCTGCACCCTGGCCTTCTGCCTGGTCTGGAGAGCGCTGGGTAATGAGCCCTTGCTTCCCGAAGGAACACTCGGCAGCCCTCCCTCCAAGAACGGGGCGCTGCTTTCCCTCCCTGTGCTGCGGCTGCTCCCCTGCTTCCTCCTCCTCCTCTTCCTTCTCTTTCTCTTCCCCCTCCTTCCCCTCCTCTCCCCACTTCCTGATGTACTCTTTTCATCCCCATGTGTCTTCATGTCCTTGCTGTAAGTCAAATTAACTTCTCTTGGCTTCTCTGGGTCCACATTTTCGCCCATTGTCCTGGAGCACCAAAGGCCCAGTAGCCTTGTAGTCCTGTAAGGCAGAGGGTGAAGGAAAGGCCCTGGGGCCCATCCTTAGACACTTGACACTGTCACTTAAACATAGAAAACACATCTTCCTGTTTTCATCCTCTGGCTCACACAGTCTGTTTTGTTTGGTTTTGTCTTTCTTCTCAGGTGTCTTTGTCCTGACTCAGGTCATTAACTGGTTCCGGACAATTCCGCTGACCTTTAAGGACCAGTTCATCATTGCCTACGGAGGGCTCCGAGGCGCCATCTGCTTCGCGCTGGTGTTCCTCCTCCCTGCTGCTGTGTTTCCCCGCAAAAAGCTCTTCATTACAGCTGCCATCGTTGTCATATTCTTTACTGTCTTTATCCTGGTGAGTACAGCTCTTCCCCCAGCAAAGTCTCCCCATTACCAGGAAGAAATAAGATCATTCAGACTATCTGAATGAACTCCTTTTATAGGATGCAACGTGGCGAAGGGGTATTGAAGCTTTGGTAATTAGGATATTAAGGAAAATGGTATTTCCTCCTGTCATATGATTGTGCAGAGGCCTAAGAGAGTCCAAGTTGGTCACTATTAGTGGAATTATTAGTGAAGGAGACTCAGCTAAGGGATCTAAGCTTACAACTGGAAACTTAGGAACTCTTCTTAGAAATCTCGTCATTTACTCTCTGACCTAGTAAATGTACTCATTACACACTAGTTGGGTGATGACCTTCCAACAGCTATTTGATGTAAGTGTGTTCCTTGAAACAGTGGGATGGCTAAAGACAATATTAATTGGGAGGTAGAATGGGTGGTTGGAAGCCCATGGGCCTGTGCTGGGATCCTGACTTTGCAGGTTAGTCAATCTCTTAGTTAGCCAGCCTTAGGAGACTGCATTTTGCAGGCAGTCATTTAGTAAACATGCACTGGACTTCTGCTAAGTGCCAGGCAGTGATCAAGAGTTCAGGATCCATGAGTGAAGAAAACACAGAAATATCCCTGTTCCTTACACTAGACAATGGACATAATAAGTGAGTAATTAGAAATTTTAGAGTATGTCAGGAGGTGAAAGATGTTGCACATGGGAAGTAGGGGACCAGGCAGAGTGCGGGTGGAGTGCTACAGTTCTAAATGGAATCATCCTGAAAGGCAACTATGAAAAAATGTCATTTGAGCAGAGGTTCATGTGGTTGGGGGCTGGTGATGGGGGTGTGCGCGGGTATTAGCTAAGCTGAAGCACATTCCAGGTAAATGGGACTGGATGTCTGAAGATCCTAGACTGTGGGGCCAAGCAGGCCAGTATAAAGGCTTTGGCTGTTCTCCAAGTGATATGGAGGTTTGGTGATGTGTTTTGACTTGCTTTGCAAAAGGCTCACCTGGCCACTGTGAGAAGGGACTGTTAAGAGGGGACCGTAGAAGTGGGGTGCAGAGTCAGAGCCAGGGCAGTAGAAAGGCCAGAGCAGTGCTGTGGCCAGCTGGATGGCTGAAGCAGTAAAATCCTCCGGCTAGACTGGGGAAGGAGGGAAAGAGGAGTCACAGAGGACTCTTGGGATTTTGGTCTGAGCAGCTTTGTCCCAAAGCGAGAAATGAGGTGCTGTGGGTGGAAGAGACAGGTCACTCTTCTGGTGGTGGAGTTCGTAGCACGCTGCCTCAGGGATGGCTGTTAGACCTCTGGTGGAGGTGATGAGTTGGCAGGCACTGGGCCTGTTGTTCAGCTCAGTCATCAGCAGACTGGAAGTGATTTCCAAGGCGGTGAAAGCATGTATCAAGGGAATTAAGAGGAGGACTGAGAACTGGGCACTGGGAAGGAGAGGGAAGCAGCCAAGAAGACTGAGGACTATGGTAATTGACAAAGGAGGAACAGCAGGAGACGGTTCCATTCTATTTGTTTTTAATTTTTTTTTAACAGTCACAGAATGCTTCCTTGGTGCCTGACTCAGGTCCAGGCACCTTTCATACTAATTCAATTCTCAGAACAGTATAGCACAGAGCTCTAGGGGAGGGCTGCTGCTCTTATTCCCATCTTACAGATGAGAAAACCGAGGCACTGGAACTGAGGTTAAGTACTTCCCCAAGTTTTTGCAACAAATGGTGGGACAGGGAGCCCAGCCAGTCTGGCCTTCACTCCCCTCTTAACAGTCCCTTCTCACAGTGGCCAGGTGAGCCTTCTTCAACGTACGTCAAAACACATCACAAAACCTTCTGGTGGTGCAGTGCCCACCACACAGGGAGTCTGCACCACTGTAACTCCCTGTGCTTGTCTTCCTCCTAATCAGTTCTCCCCAAAACAGTTCATCCCTAACTCACTCATACTGCCCAACCCTGGGGCGGGGGGCTGTCTGTCCCAGGACTCTTGGAGAGGGTGCCTCGGGAGACCCTTTCCTGGGTGAAGAAGTGGCCCCTCTGTCTGTTACCTTTGTCATCAGCACCCACATGATGCTGGATCTAATCAGTGATCGTGTCCCTGCGTCGGGCACTCCAACAAGGGCTTTCCCACTCACAGTATCTCATTTCATCCCCAAAACACAGCTGTGGGAAATGACTGGCAAGGCTCAGAGACATAAAGCAGACTGACCCCAGGACACGTAACAGTAAACGAGGAAGCCCTACTTGAGCCTAGACTCTGACTCCACAGACAAGCTGGGGATGCAGGGCTGTGCCAGCTTCACGCAGAGATGCTGTTCACCAGCTTGTGGGGAGGACCCATTTTGGTCACAGCTGTGCCTGCTAGTGTGGGTGCCAGTATCCCATGCAGGTGTGAGTCCCCTTATACTCAGGGAAGCATCTGGGTGTAGAGTAGAGGCAGATTACCTTGTCTTTATCTTTTTACTATGATGTTTACAGTCTCCTTGTAACAAGTCACCCAGTTTTCTACTGTTGCACTTTGCCTCAGGCAAAATTTTGAAGTGAATCAACTTTGCCTTGAGCATTTTGATCTCCCAGGGGCATCCTAGGGCATTAGGCATGAAGGGAGAAGTCAGGCGGGGGTGAGTGACTCACCACCTCTCCTTGGCCAGTGACCCTGTCCTTACCACCCACAGTGAGCCCTGTCAAGGCTGAGTCAATCTTCTGGCTCTGTCTCCGTGCCCTCAGAACTTAAGGTGTCAAAGACGAAAATAGAACCATGTCAGTCTAGTGCAACTAGAACTAGGTCATTTGGAGATGAATATGTCAGCCATTATTGTCCACACAGTGCTTCGCAAATACCTATAGTACAAAGACAGTCCCTTGTCGTGGACGTATGCATTTGTAAAATGCAATAAAAATTACTCAGTAGGAAGGTGTAATTCAGAAGAGGACATGCAAAATAAAAGTTTGAATTTTTTAGTTGTTAGATTCAATGGACATTAAATCACATTTCCTTTTTTTTAATGAAATTACAATTCTACATTCAGAACAATCAGGAAAAAAGAAAAGCATTTTGAAAAAAGTATACTATTGTTCATTGAATGCATGTGTATAGGTGATTACTATAGAATGTCATTTTTACTTGGATACTATTTTGGCTTTTGGAATTATAAATCAACCAAAAGATTGAAGTGAAGTTTTGATTCTCCATATTCAAAGCTTACACACCCACTTAGAATGAATATCATGTATATCGGTATTTAAGTTTGATTAACAAAGATTTAATGTGACACATTTAAAGACAGGCAACAAAAAGAACAGGTTGGTATTCTGAACAAATCAAGTTAACCCTTCAGTGGGGGAGATATTTAGGCATCAGTATTTGGAGTCTGCAAGCATACCCCAGGGTCAGGCTTCTTCTCCTTTGATCAGGTTCAAGGCTAACGTGGCAAAGCTCTCTGATGCCTGTGGGCAAGAGGAACTGCTCAGTTCCACACCTGCTCTATCTTCCCTTCATTGCTGTCTGTCCCATCCTTTATGTGCAGAGATTGAAGACTAATGGATATTGCTTGTGTCCTGACTTTGACCACTTTCTCTCTCTCCCCTTCTCCTACACACCCCGGCTCTTAAGAGACTATGACCCCACATGTGACACATGCACACACACATGCACACACACGTGTATACACACATATGCTCCATTCAGAAATGAACCTTTTTTCTGAAAAGGGAAAGAAGCCTTGTAAACATAGTGGATACAATTAATTTTAATCTATGCATAAAACATTTTGCCTTCTGATTCTAATATCCTTCTTTAAATGACATCTTTTAAGTGGATGGACCTATTCTTAAACCTTCAAATGTCTTTCCCCCTTATTTCAATATTATATGATGAACTCTTCCATCCCGATACTGTTGAGTTAGCACTGTCTTCTAAAACAGAATTCCCTGTGACATGCAGTTTATTATTTGATATCAACATTTGCAATGAAAACTTTAACATTCATTGAATCACACTGATAGAGAAAGTAGCCTGTTTATGAAACATTTTAACATGTTGCCAGAATACGGTCTTGTTTGTGGAATATTGGACAAGTAAGTGAGTCTGACTCTTGGACATGTAAATCCATTTTCTTTTAAATTTAAGATTGTTCTGTTATCTAAAATATAAGCTGTCTATTTTGTTTTAAGATGATATTCAAGATTGGTGTCAAGGTGGAGCTGAGTACTAGAAAGCACAGCACAGTAAGGTTGTCTGGGTTGATGTGCAGACCCAGCTCCAAACAGCCTCTGGGAGCCTCAGCTTACATGTAAGATCTGGCAGGAGAGAGGAAGCACAGTACCTGATACAGTGTACTCACCTGACGATTTAACCCGATTATCTGCTATGTTTTAATTATAACAGTAAAATGGCAATAGAGGGAAAAAAAATGTAACACCTTCCAGGGTACTTTTCTTTGAAAGGAGTAATGATGAGAGTATGACCATTATTCTGTAACTGATCCCTGTAATCATATAGCAGAGCCTCAGAATCCTGGAAATCCATCCAGTGGTAATCTAGAAGCACATCAAGTAGCCACGGTGGCTAGAATTCAAGAGGTAGCAGTCTCTTCTGCCTCCATCACAGACTAGTGTAGATCTACTATAAGTCATTGTCTGGACCTGGGAAGTGTCTGGGAGTTCACCCTACTTGCGAGTTAACCAGATAGCCTGTTAACTGTCCATGGATGCTGGCAGAAGACACCTGACCCCTGGGGCAGAGACAAAGGACTTTATTACTCCTAGCAAGAGCAGTAGCCAGCACTTCGTGCTGGTTTGTGTCAGTTTCCCATATTCCAGGTCCCATGGATGGATGTCTGCACATGCAGTGGGCTGCATGACAGGAGCCAGACACGGCCTGTGGACCTGCCACGCTTTGTTTGGAAGGTGACATCACCACATCTCCCAAGGTTGCTTGTTGCAAAAGCAACCCTGAAAAAATGGCCTGAGTAAAAGCAGTCAGGGCCTTGTGTTACTGCCTCCGCCCACCACAGGAGCATGTGGGGCACTCAGGACCCCCAGTGGAGTGGCTTTCCCAACAATCAAATACGCCTTTGCTGACGGAGCCACTCAAATTGAAGTGCCAGTGTCGGCTGTTTCATAGACATTTGTGAGGACCTTCTAATGCACTTTAATTTGTTAAGTAAATGGCCATATGGTATATTTATATTGCATAATAATGGCACCTTCTATATTTAATCAACATATACCTTTACTAACAATAGTAAAGACAACTTTATTCTGGTCCTACAGTAAAATGAGCAAGATGATCATGATTTTTTTAGATGAAAAAATGTAGGTGAATAACTTAGGATGTGAGAGAAATAGCAATAAGAACCAGTTCCAAGGGTTTTTTACTGAGCAACTAGGTGAAAGTAGGTGATAATTTAATACTGGGAGAGTATTGGATTTGAATGGTGGAAATCAGGTGTTCAGTTTTGGACATGCGCACTTTGGACATGGCTGTATACCTATAGACACCCACATGGGGGTGCTGAATAGGTCACTAACTCTCTACATGGGTCCCGTACTTATTCAGGAAGCCCAGAGCGGGAGATAGAAATTTGAGACTCATCAGTATACAGACGGCATTTAAAGCATGAGTCTGGAAGAGGCTATTCTGCCTCAGACTCTTTCCAGTGCAGTGTGCTAAATCCTGGAAGAAAGCCTCAGTGACTGGATTCCAGGGAGAAGGCTAAGAGAGAAATAGGAGATACAGGCAACTCTGTTGAGGTCTGGTAGAAGAAAGCGGTAGAACCAGAGGGGGCTGTGTGCCAAAGGAGGGCTTTTGTTTCTTTTTGCAAAGATGGGAGCCATCACAGCATATCTGAGCATTGGGAGAGCACAGTCCGGAGAGACACCGATGACACAGGGAGGGAAAGATAGGCGTCAGGGAAAGAGACAGGTGACAACTCCTTCCAGTGCTGTGTGCGAAATCCTGAAAGAAAGATGAGCAGAGGGCTGGGAGGCTGGGAAGTGAGAGCATGAGACCACTGTGAACACTTTGAAGGGCCCAGCCCACCTGCCCCATTCCAGAATAAGCACTGTGTCTACAATGGGCTCATGATCTCCATGGTCAAATTTGTAATGTGAGAAAGGCCTTATATAGGATAGCATAGCAATAATAGTGATGCTTTTTAGTAAGATAGTTTTCTTCAGGTTTTTCTGGATATTGCTTGCTTACTCATCAAAGAAATATAAGGCAGTTTCTCATGCCTCCTTTTTATTGATTTGTTTTATGAAATTTAATTCCAAAAAAGAAACCAAAGCTAAATAATAAATCACTTTGTTCCACAAGAACAAACCAAAAGAATGCTCATTATTTAATCCAACCCCTTTTCTTACATAACTGGGAATAGAAAGGTGGGTGGGAGGCAGGGATGAAATTGGTGGAGACAGTCCCACCTGGCTGCCCTGGCCATCCTGCCAGTGCCTGCTATGAAGTCACTCCGTCCCTCCTCAGGTCTGGCTCTGAGGTGTTGAGTTTACTGTCCCAAAGCCACGTATGTGGGAGAGAATTAGGCTTGTGCTTTGAAAATTATGTTTACAGAGAACTAAAGTGTTGCTTTTTTTTTATACCCTGCATGAATGGTAACAAGTTCTCTCCCTAAGCCTGCTCAGGTTGCTCCCCAGGTGATCTAAAGCAGAAGCTTTGCCCTGTGGTAAAATAAGGTGCCTTCCCGGACGGGTTCTTCCTTGTCTTCTTTTTCTCTGTCTCTCCCAACCAGAGACTGAGGCTCTCAGAATGTAGCATCCAGCTTGGGGAACTTGATCTGACAGACATAGATGGCCTGTGCTCAATCTCCAAAATAGATGGAGAGGAAGGAAGGAAAGGAAGACGGGAGGGAGAGGAAGGAAGGGGGAACCTATTCAATAATTCCTGTGAGCCTAACATGGCAACTGCGGATCGTTCAGAGAGAAAACGGACTGGAAAGAGGACTGTTTAAACAAGTAACTTTTTAAAAAGACAGTGTCAGTGATCCATTACATATAGTTAATATGTATTACTAATTATAAACTAAAAAAATGTTGTAGTTTTAGAAACTTGAGTGGGTCTGGGTACCAGGCCACACTTGTTTCCTGTCATCAGTTTTGTTTTATTTGTGACAGTCTGTTGACTTCTAGGTGATCAGTCTAGTAGAAGGAATCAGCATACAGATGGGGGCAGGCCCTCGGTCTATCTGTATTTTTATGTCCTATGTTAAAAAACCTAGGCACCCCCTTATTATGCTGACAGAAAAAAAACATGATAAAATATGTCCTTAGGACATATTATATAGTTTTAAAAATTGCATTGATCTTTTTTCCTGGAATTATTATTAAACTAGTAGCTTCATAGAAGCTAGAATTTAGTGAAATCACCCATCTACACAAACCACATGTTGACACCTATTTTCATTAATATAAATCAGAAATTACAGAATATGTGTTGATTGGAAAACTCTCATTCCCTCCTATATTATTTCAAAGTGGCAGACTGGCATACAAATAGAACACAAGGTGTATCTTATATCAAATTGGGTCAAAATCAGTTCACACTTCAGAAAGATAAAGTTAAGCTGAAAAATGCCCAAAGCTGGATTGATGGACTAAAACTAATGACCTCCTTAAAAAAATATGTGTGTGTGTGTGTTTGTATCACAGTTACTTTATATTATCAAAAGCATTCTTAAAAATGTAAAGACATGCAGAAAGGTGAAATGGAAATCAAATGCACGACTGGGAACGTATCTCAATATATCTACCCCTTTCCCCAAAATACCCAGTGACCCCTTCCATGCACACATTGTCCATACTGCTGTGTGTGGCAGCCACTCACCCACCAAGCAGGAAACCTGGGGAGAGTCCTTAGCACCACATTCTCACTCCTCCTCAACTGGCCTATCTTAACCTAGTGTCACATAACTTAAAATATATGAGCTGATAGTTTTGGTATCTGTAGGTTTCTCATCATTCTTTTTTTAACTTTTTCTGGTGACATTTACTCTTCCAGAATAATTTACAATTAAGCTCTCAAGTTCTGTTAAAAATCCTTTGGAATAATGTTTTTAGAATCATATTGCATGTATGTTGAGATAAATTGTCATCATAGTAGTGTTAAGTAATCCCATATAAGAACTGTACATGTCGTTTTAAAACTCAAATCTTTTTCATAGCCTTTAATTAAGTTTTAGAGCTCTGTTTGCAAAGGTTTTGTGCAATTCATGATAGGAATGTAGAAACATATAGAGAGTTTATAAGTATATCATATTATTATCTAGGTAGTATACTACTATATATTTAATATATTATATACTGGTGCATATTATTATTCTATGTGTATGTAGTCTCTCTTGCGTAGATGTTTATTCCTTTTTTAAATTAGTATATGGGATAGATTTGTGCTGATAAAATGTCTAGTCATTTTATGAAACTTCCTTGGTATTTTTAAATGAAAAAGGATTTCCTTAGATATTTTAGGAAAAAAAAATAGATCCCCATCCATAAGCAACAAAAACCTTGTCACTTATTTCAGTCTCTAAGCTTCTAGCTCTCTGTTTTGTCTTATTTAGTTGACTGAGACATGCAGAGCTGGGTCAAATAGCAGACTTGGAGGAGGCTTCATGCTGTTCCTAGTTCTACTAAAAATGCTTTCATGTTGCATTATTGTCACATGCTTACTATAGATCTCTGGCAGATAATTTTTATCATGTTAAGGAAATTTTTTCTCTTGCTAGCTTACTAAATAGCCTACTGTTCTCTGCTTCCACATTCACGGTAAATATGCCCAGACCCGTTCTGAGCCTTTCTCACTGCTGACCCTGTGCTCGGGTTTGGTCTCTGCTGTGATATGCTTCCCATGCGTTGTGAGGCTCTTAGCCAGAGTTCTCTGTCTACCAAGCCTTCTTTGACCCACGCGTTCCCTCTGAATCTCTCATTCTCCCTTGTCTCTTTTGTAACTGTTTTTGGTATGTTCTTCTCCCCTTAAGACTACAAAGTCCTGGAGCTGAGGTCCTGAACTATTCCTCCTTGTGTCCCAAATGTTTGAGCCCCTGACAAGTGTAGAAGCTCAATTAAAATTGTTTCACTACATTAATGAATATAAGAATCATTGAAAAGTTTTCTTTGGATAATACAGGTTGGTGATTCCTCTGACTTGGATAATACTTTGTTAGAATTTCTTTCCCTTTCTATTTCTTAGAATTATTTGCTATTATGTTTCCCATTTCTTGAATTTTGTCCATTGTTTTGTTTCCAGTAGTGGGTGTTGGGGCACAGCCCTCTGAAAATATGCCAGCTATTGAGAAGGAGAAAAAAGTTAATAAAATGTTACATATACTGTGTTAAATCTTGGAGTAAGATATCTTTTGTTGGTTATCAAAGCTTTGGAGAATAAAACTTTTTCTTCAGTTTTTAATTTGTAAGAAAAATTGTCTTTTTTATTCTGTGCAGGGAATCACTATCCGACCACTGGTGGAGTTTCTTGATGTTAAGAGGTCCAATAAGAAACAGCAAGCTGTCAGTGAGGAAATCCATTGTCGGGTACGTGTTGACATAGTATAATAATTTAAATGATTAAAGAAAAAATAGTTGGATTCAGTCGAACAGCTTGACAGCATGATGCTCCTTTCCTGAAGAAGAGGGGAAGGGCAGAGAGTAAAAGGGGTGGAAGGCCGAGGGAGGTACGGGGTGGTTTGGAGAGTGGACGTAGCCCCACGGTGGTTTCTCCAAGTTAGCCTCTAAACTCAGGCACCCAGGAACAAGGAAACCTCTCCTATTACTTCCTTCAACCTGAACACATTCCTACTGGAAAATTATTACCATACTTCATATTTTCTAAACTAATGCACAAACCATTATGATGAGAAAATAATCTGAGAATTGCCTAGTATTAATATGAAAAACATCTTGTCAATTTGTTTGAAGATGATTATTGTTTTGTTGTTTTCAGTAAAACAAACAATCCACAAAAACTGTCAGAGTGTTTGAAGTTTAGACCTGATATAAATAGCATGAAAGTATCTGATTTCAGGTCAAAATTAATCAATTCACCTGCTTTTTCTGTTTTAGTTCTTTGATCATGTGAAGACTGGGATTGAAGATGTTTGTGGACATTGGGGTCACAACTTTTGGAGAGACAAGTAAGAAGCCCCTAGACCATTATATCTTGAAGTGGCTCTGGGATCACTCTAGAGACCAGGCATATTGATTTATGTTATTTTTCAAAGTTGCAAATCTTTCCTATGTTTTTCCACAGTGTATCTTTTAAGAGAAAGTTCAGCTAGAACAGAGACCTGGAGCAATAGTAGCTTGAACAAGATAAAAGCTTATTTCTCTCATATAAATAGCCAGAGGTAGGCAATGTAGGTTTAATAGGTGAGTTCTGCTCCACAGACCCCCTCATGGACCCAGGACCATTCTGTCTAGTTGATTCCACTAACAACTTCCATTCAAAGGTTGCCTCTTAGACCAAAATGGCTGCTTCATCATTAGCCATCTTATGCACATTCCAGGCTGCATGTAGGAAGAAAGATAAGAGACAAAGAATATGCACTAGTTCCTTCCCAAGCAAAGTTATCAGAAACTTCCACACAATTCTTCCAGTTATACTGTATAACCTGGCCTTAAGTGGCCAAGACTCAGTCATATGGGCATTTCTCACTGCAAGGGAGGCGAAGGAATGCAACCTATTTGATCAAAAACTAGGAGTTCCTTTACTATTTGTTCTCCCACATGTGTTGAGGTGCTTTGTCAAATGCAGAGCTGCACAGCACCTGAGAATAAAAATAGACTAACAGAAATAACAAATATTTTTAAAGCCATACTTATCAGAAAGATTATGTGCACCTATGAAAGTGTATCTATCTTCTTTCTTTCTTTCTTTCTTTCTATCTATCTATCTATCTATCTATCTATCTATCTATCTATCTATCTATCTATCTATCTATCTATCTATCTATCTATCTATCTATCTATCATCTATCTACCTATCTACCTACCTACTACCTTTAAAGACTCTGTGGTGGATACATCAGTGCCTCTCTTGAAGGATCTTTTTGTCAAAGTGGAAGGGAAGCCTGGCCAGGCAGAATTCAGGTCATGCTTTAACCTAACTGAAAAACAAACTTACGGGCTCAAGAAGTAAGGATGAATTCTGACAGCAGGGACAGTGGGGTGCAGGAGCCAGCTCACACTGATGAGAAGGGCTGGGTGCCTCCCCTCCTGACCCCACAGTCAGTGCCGTCATCATTGGTAGTTCGAATCAGCCCTGGAGGCATTGCACCATGGAACTGACAATTGCTGTGAATCAGGGCCTTTTTTATTTCAAAAAGCAATTGGTTAACATTTACTAGCACATCACAGACTAGGAAAGACTTATGAAGAATGTGGCATTACAGGTGTCTCCTGAAGACAGATGGACAGATTCGAAACTCTATTTGGTGAATCCCTCTTGCTCTCTTGCCCCTTTTTTTTTTTTTTTACTAACTTGCTAACATATCCCTTCCCCCACTAATTTACATGAAGTCTATCACCTGTCAGTTTATGTCATTTAATATAAGGGAATTTTTGAGTGTTAACTGTTTGCTCGCATGTTTTGACATGATGTTGGACGTGAGGCAGGTAAGCCATAAACTCAGACCTTTAAAATTTTGCAATATAAGAAAGGTAACAAAACAGTCACACAGCAAACAGGTGTGTGTGGGGGTGTGTGGTATCATTAAGCAATAAAATGAGTTACAGAGAGACTTTAAGTGCCAGAACAGCCTTTACAATCTGACCATACTATCTACCAATGGAGAAAGGTCCCTTGGACCTAGCCTTATTTTATAACTTACTTTATTTCTTTGGAGAGAGTGTCCAATTAGCCACATGGGGGGGCAACAAAGTAATAAAATGAAGCTAACTAAAAATTTCCATTGTAAAAATCTGGGGAAAAAAAATGTCAGGATTCACTTTTTTGGAGGCAGGAGGTAGAGGACAAAACCCTGTCTGCCTTGTGACTTTCTATGCCCCCTTTATTTACACCCCAGGACCTTCCCAGCAAAGGCCAATCCTGGTGGTCTCTGCCAAGGCAGTGGCACAGCCGCTTCTCCTTGTCCTTCTCCATTGTTTTCAGAGCCATGCCTATTTCCCTCCTACCTTCTCCCTTTCAATGCAACCACTTTTCTCCCTTCTCTAGCATTTTTCAGTCCTTCCCTGAAGAGACAAGTTGCCCAGAACAGTGTGTTCCTTTTCTAAAGTGATGATTGGGCTAAAGATTTATCCCATTCCTTTGCCTCCCAAAACAGAGGGAAAATTAGATAGGAGTCGATGTAGGAATCAGGCCAGCAGTCCCTGGGGCAGTGTTAGAAGGAGGAGGTGGCCCCTGCGATCATGCAGATCTGTTCTGGAGCACAGCCGAGGAGTGTCAGAGAAAGTCTGGCTACATCCTATCTTGCAGGAGAGGTGCTGTCTATCTTGGGGGATGTGGTCTGTTCCAGGCAAACATCTATAGGCCACTAGGCTGATTGAACTATAAATTCTAAAGGTGGCAGAGACAACTTTGATTCATGCCTGGTAGGTAATACTGTCACACGTCTAACATTTTACCCTGCAGTATGCATATTTTATTTAATAATTTCATAAACCCTTATGTATTGCTATGCATGATGTTTTCCAAAGAATTTCAAATAGTTTTCTGGGTAAAATATCAAGTACATTGTATATTGCATGTAGATCAGGGAGGTGAGTATGGAGGGATTTGGTGTTGAACAGGCCATGTTTACAATTTGTTCTGCTCAGATCCTATCTCTGGTATGTGCATAATTGTTGATGTTACTAAAAGGCCATAAAAATGACATGATTGTTTTAGGTATGTTCGGCATCTTTACCTTTCTTCTGGAATCCTCATGCTGTGGATTTATTGTGGTCCTGTCATAGAATCCGTGAGGCATTTGATCCTCTGAGGATGAAATGGAAGGATATTGCAGTAGAGAATTTCACAAACTTGGCAAAAGTTGCTAATGATGGTAAAAGAAACCACATATGTGTAGTTTGGCAGAGAAATGAAAGGTGTGGAAATGAAGTGAAGAGAGAAAATGCAGTTGCTATGCTCAGTAAATCAGGTGTCATTGTCCTGAACGTTTATTCTTCTAGTGAAAAACCGAAACAATAAAAGAAGTTTAAAAAGATGTGTCGCTGCCAGGATCTTGGTTCAATGGGTGTAACATGAAATTAAAAATAAACTTAGAAAAAAATAGGCCCAGTGTTAGTATAATCAATAGCAAAGCACTTTAGGGATGGCTCTCCTTAATTATTAATAGCCCTCCAGTATTTCGAACAAAGGACTAGCACCAACAGTGTGGGTTAGCATTGTTTCCTTTCATAGCACAGGTGTGTCTATAAACCTCTTTGGGATTATGGTGATCACTGTAATACATTTCTTTCTTTTTCAACAAATATTTATTGCATGCCATTTCACTTACATATTGGCATAATAATGTTACATAACAAACCACCCCGAAACTCAGCTGCTCAAAACAATAGTCACTTGCTAAAGCACACGAGTCAAGAGGCTGAGTCAGCTGATCTGGGCTGGGCTTGGTGATGGGACTGGCCTTGCTTACAAGTCATTGGGTTGGCTGGTGTCACCTGATGCAGGCTAGCCTCTTCTCATGGAACTGGGGTGACTTAACTCTGCTTCATGGGACATTCATTTTTGTCCTGGGGCTGAGTCATTCCATACGTCTCATAGCAATTGTGGAATCAGAAGGGCAGGCTGCAATAAGCAAGCCCACTGTAAGGCTCCGCTCCCATCGTGTGAAAGCTAATAGCCCACTTAGCAAAGCAGGTAACATTATTGAGCCCAGTGGCAGGGCAGGTTCCCTAGGCCATAGTAGAAGGACATAGCCAAGGAATATGGCAGAGGGTGAGGATACAAGGAGGAATTGGAGCCAAATGATACATTCTACCATACACACTTATGGTGTGCCAGCCACAGTTCAACAACAAAAACTCTGCCCAGGCAGATAACTTTGGTGCTAGGAGAGAGAAAAAAAGCTAAATAAATGAATTATATAGTTATAAAATGATAACTGCTTGGAGAAAAATATGTCCAGGAAGTAGAATAGGAAGTTTGTGTGAGGGGTGGTGTAGGGGTGGGGGTGGTAGAGATGGTAGGCAATCCTAATGTGATGGATAAGAAAGGCTCTTTTGACAAATGACTATCAAGGGAAGTCTGAACACAACAAGGTCTCTGTATGAGCCCTACAGATAAGTGTTCCTAGGAGAATAGGAAGTATAAAGGCCCACAGGTGGGGGCACAGCTGGCAAGTTCCCATGGAAGGAAATATCAGTGAGGCTGGACTTCAGTGGGGCAGCACTCGACTGACAGGTGTAGCTCCAGACTGTGGAGGGCCTCCAGGCCATGGTACATTTACTCAAGTGAGAGGCAGAGGCATTATGTGCCTTGACTTACCTTTCAACAGGATAACTCTGACTTCTGTGTCCAGGACAGTCTATAGAAATGCAGTGCAATGGTGGAAGCAGAGAGACCAGCTAGGTGCCCGTTGTAAGAAGTCTTGGCTTCTGGGGATGGCAGTAGAAGTGGTTGGATTTTTTATGTATTTTGATGGTGGCACCAAGAGAAATTGCCAAGAGAGTGGATATAGAGTATCAGTTTACTGGAGCTGCTATAATGAAGTACCACAGACTGGGTGACCTAAACAATAGAAAGGTATTTTCTCACAGTTCTGGAGGCTAGAAGCCCAAGATCAAAGTCTCGGTAGATTTGATTCCTTCTGGGAGCCGTGAAGGGGAGATCTCTTTAAAGTTCTGTCTCCTTGGCTAGTAGATGATCTTCTTCTTCCTGCCTGTTCACATCATTTTCCCTCTGTACATGTCTGTGTCCAAATTTCCTTTTAATATGCAGATGCCAGTAGTTGCAGCCAGGCCCATCTTAAGGACCTTATTTTAAATTAATCTACTCTCTAAGGACCCTATCTCCAAATATGGTCACATTCTGAGATATTGGAATTTAGGACTTCAACATTTGAATTTTTAGGGGCACACAGTTCAGTCCATACCATGGAATAGGAGAGAAGCAGACGTATCAAAGATGACATCAAGGTTTTGACTGGTAGAGCTGTCATTAACTGAAATGGGGAGGATTGTAGAACATCAGTTCAGTTTAAGCATGTCAAGTTTGAGATGCCTCCTAGATATCCAAGTGGAGATGTCGAGTAGGCAGCTGAATATCCATTTATTGGTTTGAGAGAGGTTGGAGATGGAGACACAGATCTGGGAGTCATTGGCTTGGAGATGCTATTAAAGTCCATGAAACAGGGGAAGATCCCCACGAGAGTGAGTACAGGTGGAGAAGAAGGCCAAGGACTGAGCCCTGGGCACTTCTGTGGTGAGAGGCAGAAGGAAGAAAAAGAGCCAACAAAAGAGACTGAGGAAGCAGTGGAAGGGAACCCAGGGGCGTGTAACGTCCTAGAAGACAGTGTTTTAAGGAAGGAGTGGTTAGGAAAGGGGAGGAGTAGTAATTGGCCATTATATTTAAACTGTGGGGGGGCCACAGCCTGATTTGTGAATTGGCAAGAGAGAATCAGGGGAGAGGAATTGGATATAGTATTAATCATATCTTTGAATGAATTTGCTAAAAGATGAAGCAGAGAAATAGAGAACAGCAGGTATTTAATCTATAATTAGTGAATATTAGATGTGTATATGTCCTGACTATATATACAAAAATATGCCGATAGGTGCCATATGTGTGTTCATGTGTGTATGGGTGTACATGCTTATTTCAGGTATGCACACATGAAAATATATATAATGATCATATTAACTAAGGACAACTACTAAATTTTTCTGCAGGAGTAGTGGAAATTATTTTATTGGTATAAACAGGTCTTTTCTTAGTCACTATAAATTAACTGAAGCTTTAATTTTCTATATTTCCAGGTTTAAGAAGTTTGATGACAAATATCTGCGGAAGCTTTTGATTCGGGAAAACCAACCCAAGTCAAGCATTGTGTCCTTATATAAAAAGCTTGAAATAAAACATGCCATCGAGATGGCAGAGACTGGGATGATAAGTACTGTCCCTTCTTTTGCGTCTTTAAAGTAAGTACCATTTGGCAAATAAAAGTTGTGTTACTGTGTGTCTTTATAGCATTTCAAAACCACTTATAAGAACGAATTTGACCTATGTCCTAGAGAGTGACCTAAAGACTTCAAGCAGAACGAGATTCTGGTGAATAGTGAAAGCCTAGAAATCAGTGCACTATGTCACATCATGTCATATGATGCTGTTATTTTTTTAATTGCCTAGTTAGAAAATGCTTAGTGTGACTATGCCTTTATTATATTTGCTCTGGGACATTCAGTGCTTTTGGAAAGTAAATTAAAAAGCCTCTTTAGCAAGAATTTTTAAATGGAATATTTTAAGGTATGTTACATGTGCTATTATAAATATCTATGTAATTATGCAGCTATTTCCTCTTTGATTATTCACAGAATCACAGTTTAAGGCTTGCAAAAAATATTAGTGATAATCCAGTACAGAGATTCTCAACCACATGGCATGTTACAAACACCTTAAGAGCCTTTAAATAATGTACATGTCTAGGCCCCACCCAGAAAAATAAAATCAGCATCTCTGGGGTTGAAGCCTAGGTATAGTATTTTTGTAAGTCCTTCAGATGTTTCTAATATGTAAGCAGAATTGAGATCCACTAACCTAGTCTGTCTCCTTAATTTTAAAAATGAGGAAATGAGGACACAGCATTATGAAGTGACGACATACCCAAAATCTTATAGCAAATCCATAGCAGAACAAGTAAATACTCCATTAGCAAATGAGGTTATTTCATCATGTGAATATCATTCCTTTCCTATCACAAAAATGACAGAAATTATAGGTTCTACTGATCTCTTTTTTCACTGATGAATGTGAAGCTCATTTCAACCAAATGTCACATAATTAAAATGCTATCTATGGGAGGGTTGAAATGAGATGAAGCTCCACATCACACCCAGTGATATAAACTGTGATTTTTTTTTACCAGGACTGTAAGTCTCTTATAGTAATTATGGGCGTTTACACAATCCAGAATTAAAAGAAATAGCAGTCAGAATGGCTTGGAGGGAGAGGCATTATATAACATTAGAAACATAGTGGATTGAACAGAATGACAGATGTATTGTCCCACTATGCAAATAACACCCTGTATGACTTTAAGCTGGTCCACCTATTTCCCTGAAATTGAGTGTCTTAAAGTAGAAAAAGGGGCTGGGCTTGATCCTTAGTTTCCCTTAGCTTTATAATTTTATGACCTTTCATATGTACTATTCCATTTGCAGTTCAAGCAAAGGATAATTCAATTGTCCAGCTTCTCAAAGGAGAGCTATTGTCTTTGTGATCACAGAAGGAAATACCAGTTTTTCTCTCTGTTCATAGCTCATTTTGAAGCCAGCAGTAAGCAAAGCAAAGGCAAAGGTTTAAGGTTAGGGCAGTAGGTTACAAAATTAATGCCTAGCTGCATAGTTGGGTAAGTGAGCACCATATTGACCATTCTACCTCCCCTGAAATGTTTTCTTTAGAGGAAAGTGGAAACAAAAGGGAGGTTAAAAGGAATTGTATTTCTGGCAATAATGGATTGAGTTCTAGACCAGATTGTTTTCTGAGAACAACTAGAAAACAAAGGAAAAAATATATTTTAAAAATCTGCTTTAAAGCTAGACTGTACCAGTGTGGTAAGCAATTTCTTGACCAAAAGTCAATAGAACAGGGAAGTCCAAGAAGAGGAATTTTCTTCCTGGATTATGAAGAAAGTGTCTAAGAGTCTAAAGGGCTAAAATGGAGGTCTTGACAGAGTAATTGGTCTTAGAAAATAAATTTGGGATTCAGCACTTACCAAGAAGGAGGAGCTTCTAGGTTCTTACTATAGGTTGTTACTTCAAATTTCTGCACCATAAACCTCAAAGGAGAGAAATCAAGCTTAGAATTATCTCAATCCATGATTGTTTAAATCATATAAGGTAGATACTTCCCTTGGCTGCTTGAGAGAAGTAAACTTAAATCTTCTCTGGAGGAAAATAAGATTATAAAGAGCCTTAAACAATGTCATGATTTCTCATATATAATGTCTAGAAACCATCAGAAGAACATGAGTAGACAAAGAAATGTGATTGAAAAAAATTTGGAAATAGATAAACAAAAATACAGAGTAGTAACAGGCACAAATGGAATTCAGATAATTGAGTTATTAAACAGGGACTTTAAAATAGAAATAATATAGTTAAGGAGAGAAAATGAAATTGGTATTTTTGGCATTGTCATAGAAATAATATAAATAAAAAGTATCTAAGTTACTTGAATATTTGAGCTAAAAATGTAACAAAATTTAGGATTCTATTTGACAGGTGTAAAAGCAGATTAGACATAGCTGAAGAGAGAGAATTGACTTATTGGAAGATAGGATAGAAGGAAATAAATAGAATGAAGCATAGAGTGAAAAGACAATGGAAAATATGGAAAAGAAAGTAATAAATATATGGGATATGTTGAAAAGTTCCAAAAACAGATAAGAGAGCAATTTGTACAAGCAGTATTTTAAGAGATTATAACAGAATTTCCCCAAACAGATAAAAGATATGAACTATGACAAACCCCAAGCAGATTAGGTAAGAAAACCAAATGTAGGTGCATTCTAGTAAAACTGCCAGAAACACAGAGAGAAAATTTTAAACATACTTAGAGGAAACAAGAGACCTATTTTCTTCAAAAGAAAAAAAAATCTGACAAATGATTTTTCAATAAAACCATTGGTATCTTCAAAATTCTGAAAAAGTAACTGATAACCTAGAGTTCCATAGCCTTCTAAAGTATCCCTCAAAAAAGTAGAATAAAAACATTTCAGACAAAGAAAAACCATCATACTAAAATAATAGTAAATTGTTTCAGGCAGAAGGAAAAGAGTCTCACAGAGATTTGGAGATGAAGGGAACAGTTACAGCAATGAAACAGTAAATATAAAATCTGAATGAATACTAATTGCATAAAATAATAATGTCTGTGGGGTTTCAAATGAATATAGAATTAAAATCAACAGCAATACTAACTTATGAGGTGGGAGAGTGGTGAATTGGTGCTGTTATGTCCTAAGGTCCTATGTTGTCCAGAAAGTGGTAAGAATAAAAATTTATTTTGGACTTTAATAAGTCAGTGATTAATGTTATAATCCCATGTAACCACTAAAGATATCGTAGAAGAATGTAATGAGTCAACCAAGAAGGGAAATGAAATAACAAAATAAAAGAAAAATTTAAAAGGCAGCAAAGTAGAAAAAAATCATAGAATAGATGGGACAGATAGAATGCAAATGGTAAGATGATAACCTTGACCCTAAAGGTAATTGCATTGAAACTTCCTCCATTTAGAAAGGAGAGACGGTTAGAGTGGGTTCCAAGCAACTTGTTTAAAATTTCTATGGAAATGTAAAGGGCCAAAATTAAGTCAGACAAAATTTTCTTCAAAATTGAAGAACAAATTAAGTGATTTACACTACTAGGTAACAAGATTTGCTACAGAACTTACATGACTGAAACAAAATGATACTGGACAAAGGGACAAAATAGACAGTAGAAAATAAGATAAAATAAAAGTGTGGAATGAACTCACCCATATGTGGACACTTAATTAATAACAAAGTTTATAATACAAACCAGTGGGGAGATGAACTTAAAAAATTATAGATACCCATATGGAGATAAAATGAAATTAAACACTACTTCACATTGTGAAGTCAAAGAATATTATAGATCTGAATGTGAGAGGTGAAACAATAAAGCTTTTGAAAATTATATAGGAGAATGTTGTCTTAATGTTGTGATAGGAAAAGATTTCATTAGAGGAATAAAAACCATAAAGTAGGAGAAGATACTTGCCTCACATAAAACTGAAAAATGTCTAAAGAAGACAGTTCTCTAGAAAAATGGACAGGAGACTTATTCAGGCACTTTACAAAATAGGATATCCAGATGGTCAGTAATTGTATGTGTTCCAAAAATATGTATGTGATAATATGCATAGGAGCCTTTTTTTGTAATATCCAAAGTTGTAAATAAACCAAATACCCATCAACAATATATGGATAAATTGTGATATATTCACATGATGGGATATTATACAATGATTAAAATGAATAAACTACAGCTTCATGCAATAACACAGATGAATTTCCAACATAATGCTAGCAAAAGAAGCTAAATTTAAAAGACTACATATTGTATTTAAATGACCCCATTTATATGGCTTGCAAATATTATACAAAATTAGAAGTTGGGGTAGTGGTTGTCTTTGGCAAAGAGGGAGGGAGGTGGTGATTGTTTGGGGCTGGGGCATGAAGTGGTTTCTGGGATTCTAGTTAATGTTCCATTTTTTTGACTTGAAGTTAATGTTCCATTTTTTTGACTTGAGTAGTGGTTGTTTAAGTACATTCACTTTGTGATAAGTCATTCAGCTGCACCTGTAAGTTTCATGCACTTTTCTTTCTTTGTATTAAATTCCAATTTTAAAAAACCTTAAGCTTAAACAAGGGAGGTAGTTGTACACTTAACACTTCAGTTATGCAAACACATGTTGGGAAAAACTTGGTGGGACCATGATGCAAGAAAATTGGGTACTAAAACGATGGCTACTTGTTACCCTTCCTTGTTCTTCCAACTCCAAAATTCTCTGAATTAACTTTGCTGAAGAAACAACTGGACTAGGAAGCTGGACAGCTGTCTAAACAATGATGCCTCAATCTAAGAAGATGCTTCTTAAAAACTAATCTGAGCAACTGAGGCAAAAATGAATGATTTAAATCTAGAGAAGTCTGTCCTGCTGAAGCCTCAAATTTCTGTATTCATTCCTTTATGTTTATCCATTACCCAGTGGGCATAGGTTTTGACCCCAGTAATTACTAGTATGGTTGGTTTACAGCAACAAGTTTGCATTTAGAAAAATATAAGAGAACTGTTCTTTTCAATTTGTGCATCCTTGGCCCATCTTCCCTGAGACCTGCATTTATATATGTTAGCCTAACCAACTTTATTTTCATAATTTCTCCTTTTTGAAGGAGTTCGAATAAAACTTACAAATACGGTCGATTCTCATTGTTTGCAGTAGTTCCGTTGTGTAAAGTTGATGTGTTTTAATAAGTCTATAAAGTCGATGTTAAATCTTTATAAGGTCTATAATGTTATGCTCTACAAAGTAGGAACACTGATTTGCAAATACAGAACCACTGCTCCCGGAGGAAATACCGAGTTAGGTTTCTGCAAGCCTCTGGTCAGAACATTTTCAGCAGCTGATTGATAGATAATCTTGTTTTATGTATGTTTCTGTTTAAAGACACCTTATTTAATATATATTGCTGGTTCACTAACATTCAACTCATGGCCAACAGTACCGTAACTCTTGCTTGAACAAAGCTTACTTAACCCATTTTTTCCAGAAGGCACATCACAGCTTTCTTGTGCTTAGGAGCATGAGACAGCACTCCACACCTATGCTTGGGGGCCATTTGAAACAGGGAAACCATCAAAACACAAAAATGTGAAAAGTGTGTCACTAAATAGACCTTGAAAAGGACATTTATACAAGAGCTGAGACAACTAGGCAGAGTATTGCCATGTTCAGCCTCCTCTGGGAGCCTGTGTGTTGGGCACATCTTTTCTAGCCCTAGTATAGTTCTGGATACGGGGATATTCCCTAGAAGTACACATGAATTTTATCAGAAAATAAAACTAGTTACTAATTACAATTTATTTTAGAAAATAGATTTCTGTTAGCTTATAAATAGCTACTACTAGCTTCACTGTAAGCTGTTAGCTTCTATATAGCTTATAAAACTAAAAATGAATTTTTTCCCATTCAAATTTTTCCCTACCTTGCCCATGTCTGTGAATGACTGTGAACATGCCATAGGTCTTGATAATTGTCTTGCAAATAATTTTTAGCAAGTAGGTGAATTTGCAAATATGGAATCCCTGAATGATGAAGATCAACTGTGTATACATACCTATTATAAATGGTGACTTTGTAAATATTTCTAATGAGGTATTTGAAAGACTGGGCCTTAATAGCAAGATATAGCCAAGTAACTTTCTGTGGGAAAAAACTATTCTACATTATTTTATTTATAGAGTATTACAAGTAATAAAGTGGTAGCATTATAAGCTACTACCATTTTTCTTCCTTAAAAAACAGACTCTGAAATCATGTGCATGATTTAAACTTGTCATGAATAACTTCGACACTGAAAAGTTTTAGAACTTTGGATTATTTTAAAATACTGAATAATTTCTTAGTGTTATTCTTTAATGTTCTTTTTAAATAATGATATTATATCTCTAAGAACACTGGTGATTCCAATATCTGTTGAATAGTGAAATATGCTTTTCCTAAACTTTCACAGTGACTGTCGGGAAGAAAAAATAAGAAAGCTCACACCTGGTGAAATGGATGAAATTCGAGAATTATTATCAAGAAATCTCTATCAAATCCGTCAGCGAGTGAGAATAATTTATTTAGTAAAATAGTTCCTTGCTTTTGGCTAAAAACATGCCCTCTGAATTTGTGCGATCCAGTTATAGTAGGCAGTATCCCACCGTCAGGCCAACCCCTGCAGGGGCCATGCAGCCTCCCCTTTTGTCACAGAGTCTTGTCTGGTTAGGGTGCTTGAACTCTTCTCCCCGACACCACGGGTAAGTCCCCTGGGAGATCCGCTACTTGGACAGAAAAACATGTGTTAACTACTTGTGAAGAAAGTGATTGATTGCTCTTTTTAAATTTTTTAAAGAAATCAAGGCACAGGAGATGAAGTGGTACACAGGCCATGCCACGTGTCAGGAGTCTTCCTCACTCAGGCTGGGGTCATTTCTGTATCATTTTGGCTGGTCTCCCCAAAGGTTGCCCCATTCCATCTTACATTGCTGTCGCTCCACCCCTTTCCCTAAAGCACCTTTTCATGGCAGCATTCTCCTGTTTAAAATGAAGCAGAATGACTGGTCGCTCCTAGGCTCAGATATTCTTTCAGAACCTGGGGTCTCTCTTCCAAGTTCCACCTTATCTGATCTTATTTCTGCATCTCCTTCACCTGCCCCAGACATGTAGCTTCTGACTTCACTCCTTGGCTTGTGTTATTTCTTCTCGGATTCCACTTGGAATGTCCTATTGCTTCCTGTCTGCTGATTTGTAGCTTCCCATTTGTAAGGTTTCCCCAACAACCTGCATATTTTTCCAGCCCTATTTTTCCATCTTAGAACTCATCCTGTACCACATAGTTTCAGCACTTAGTTTCATGATTTTGTATTATTTTGTTAGTCTTAGCTGCTCCACTAGATAGTACATTCCTCAAGGCAGAGAATGAGCCTTGTTCTATGTTGCTTTTGAATATCTCTTCTAGTCCTAATATAGTTCTGGATACAGGGATAGTCCCTAGAAGTACACATTAATTTTATCAGAAAATGAAATTAATTGCTAATTACAATTTATTTTAGAAAACAGATTTCTTTTAGCTTGTAAATAGCTATTAGTTTCTACATAGCCTATAAAACTAAAAAGGAATTCCAGGTACAGCCCTAGTTTAGAAATTTTACTGCCTTAAATACTAGGAGATGATCTTAGCTGGTCCTAACAGCAGCTTTCTCAATTTGACAACCCAGTTGAAAAGAAATGTTCTGAAGTTAATCTAAAGGCCATGGCGCCACCAAGTGGCCCAGAGTGGTTCATATTTATGCCAGTAATTCCTTCTCCATAGAGAATGAATGAAAATGACTTGTATTTTTTTCCCCAGCTGCTAAGGAGGGCTCAGTAAATACAAGGTACTTCCAGGTAGACAAAGGCATCTTTGATAAATTAAATCATTTTTCTGGTTTATAAAGATCACATTTTTCAATGAAACAAAAAAGTGCATTCCCTGGTCTTATCAGAAGATGAATCTCTCAAAATCTCTTAGTGTTAGCTTTCATACTGTTTTTTGTTTTGCTCTACCCATTGGTTGTTAAGTGCCTAGCTGAGGTACAGAGCTAAAGAAATGTGAGGCTCTGGAATTTCTGGGGCATGGGTCAGTTTTTTTGTAAAATGCCTCTTGTGTATTCCTTGCAGACATTGTCATACAACAGACACAATCTGACGGCCGACACCAGTGAGAGACAAGCCAAGGAGATTCTGATCCGACGGAGGCACAGCTTGCGAGAAAGCATTAGGAAGGACAGCAGCCTGAATCAGGAGCGCAGGGTAACGAGAGTTTGTGCCTCTGGGATGCAGACGCCTTCCAGGAGCAGGGCCAGCAGCTGGTCCCAAGGCTCTACTGACAGAAAGGCTCCTGAAGGTTGATTCACAGGAATTCTGGGATGGAGTTAATTAGAAACGCTTTGCAGATGTTACTTAGTGCCTATTACGTTCCAGGCACTTGCTCTGGGCACTTGGTGCATGAGTGAACAAAACTGACCGATTTCTTCATGTGCAGAATTCAGAGTCTAGTTGGAGAGGAGGCGATCAGCAATAGACAGGATCAATTCCCTGCTGTGTTAAAAGGCACTTTAGTGCTATGGAAAAGACAGACAAAGAAAAATCACTAAGAAAGGAGATTGGGAATGCATGGAAGGGTCAGTCAAACTACAATTTTAAGCAGAATGGCTGGGCCAGGCATTTGGAAAGTAATACTGACCACTCCAAGGAGAGGCTGCAGCCTGAAGGTGGGCACCCTGCATGTGTTGGGCGAGTGAATGTTCACAGGGAAGATTGCTCGGCTTTTCACCTGACATGGGGCATTGTCAATAGATAAAGGAAAACCATTTAAAAAAGATATTATGATTGATTGATTGAACATGGCAGGCACTGCATCTTGTTTTTGATCATATTCTATATTGGGTCTTTAGAGACCAAGACGGTAATGTGTGAACAAGAAGAGCAGCTCTGTTTTAATGTGTAAAATGTGGCAGCATTGACTGAAAGTCAAAGAAAGTAGAGATTGTGGCATTGCAAATGTCAGCAAATTAGCTATAGTAATCCTTTCTCTGTTCTTTTCAAAACTTGTAAAAATTAATTAAAATTTAAATATACTATGTTTTCCATATATTTTCTTCCCCATACATATAGGTTCTGTGTCTCTTTTAGTAATAGTTTCATATGGATGTTTCTGTACAGTTTCTTTAAGAAATCCCAAGAGTTTTCACATATTTTCCAATGATCCTACTTTATTTCCATTTTCCTTAGTACTGATATCTGTTATACTTTAGAAGAGACTTAGTTATTTAAAAAATTTAGTTAATTTTTGCTTGGAAATTTATCCCTGATCCCTGTAGCCTCTCACAAAGTCATTTTGGAATCAAGTAGTATTTTAATTTGTAACAAGGTGTATCATAAGATTTTAAACTTCTAAAATACAATAAATGACATCTGGGTTTCTAATTACAGTTTCCTGTGTCTTACAGGCTTCCACGTCAACCTCTCGATACTTATCCTTACCAAAAAATACAAAGCTTCCAGAAAAGCTACAAAAGAAAAAGAATACTTCTAACACAGGTAATAAATACAGTTGGAGCAGAAAAGCTAAATTTATTTATTGATGTTTATAAAATAGAAAACTTTTCCTGTTCTTTGTCTTCCTTAAGGACAATGAGTTCAATAGTGTACAAATCTAAAGTAATAATGTGGTGATCTTTTATTAGCATTGTAACCTTTCTTAATGGAGTTCTATGTACCTTATAAATAATTCAATCTGTTGTTTTCCATAATGATTGTTTGGTATAGAAAAGGTAAATATTGTCACCAGTTGTTTAGTGAACAGGTAAATAGAAAGTTTAAATCAGCAAAGGTGTATATAAATTTTTTACACTTCTAATATATTTTCATAAAGGCAGCTGTATATTTTACTTCTGACTGTAATTATTGAAGCTTAAGGTCTAATATCTCTGACATAAGGTCCAATATCTCTTTATTTGAGGGTAAGCTTTACATAGACTCCAAGATGTTTTCTGGTGACCCCAGGGGAGATATGATTGGGCATGATGCTGGGAAAATGTGGGGTGCAATAATAATACCCCCATTTTTTGTTTTTTGGATTTTTTTGCTTGTTTATTTAATTAACCAAGAAGAGGAAAGGCTAACGATGGCTGTAGGCTATGAAAAGCTAATGAAACGTAACGGTAACTGAGCGTAAGCCGAGGAATGAGGAGGGAGGGTGAGGGATGAAGAGGGGAGCCCTGAATTTTTAGAGTGGTGGGCCATGTTGGCACCGTGCATCCATCAAATGCAGCCAGTTCCCAAGTCCCGTGAGCTGTCCTACCTGCAGTCCTCTAGGACCTGAATTCTGACAACCAGCTCTGATCATACCTCTCCCCATTGTTTAAAGAGTGTGCCTTGGTGCTCAGCCCTTTTATGAAAATATAAACGAAATAAAAAGGCCATGTCTAAGACCCCAGATTGAAACAAAAATCATTATAATCACAGCTAAACATTGGTCTGCTTACTGTGTGCCAGACTGTGCTGGGATAGTCCTGAGGGGGCGGGTGAGAGCACAGATGATCTGTTCGATGTCCTGTTCCACCACCTACTAGCTCTTGAACCTCAGTTACTTCATCTGTAAAATGGGTGGCTGTGAGGATGCAATAGGTTAAGGCATTTAAAAGTGCTTAAGACAGTGCCTGGCACCTAGGAAGCTGTTCAGAATTAGTATGAATACAACCTTGTGGACGTGGACGCCCAGGGAGGTGACAGAGCACCCCATGCAGTCAGTTCCAGGGAGCCCTCAGACCTCCCCAGTCCAACCCCGAGAGCCCGAAAGCAAGCAGCTTCCCGACCCACTCGCAGCGCCTGCTCTCTAAACGCTTGCCTGTGTCGTCCTTCTTTCGCTCTGTGGCAGGTGGCAATAGCAGTGACTCAGACACAGACGCTGGGACCACCGTCCTCAATCTGCAGCCCCGAGCGAGGCGCTTCTTGCCAGAACAGTTCTCAGAGAAAGCCCCCCAGTCCTATAAAATAGAATGGAAGAATGAGGTAGACGTGGACTCCGGCCGAGGGCACCTCTGCAGCCCCTCAGCTCCCCACAGCAAAGATGGGGGCACCCAGCTTCCAGGTGTGCTGCGGCAGCCCCTTCTCTCCAAAGGCCAGTTTGGCCCAGTGCAGGAACACCGTGCGCCCGAAGGTGTCCGCCCCAAGCCACCGCCCAGACTAGTCCGAAGGGCATCGGAACCTGGAAGCCGGAAAGCCCGATTTGGAAGTGAGAAGCCATAATGCAAATGGCCAGAGCAGCCCTTCGGGTGACTGACCCAGCATAGTTGTGGTTTGTTACTCTGAAACCTGACACAACTGTGGAATCCATTTAAAACCTTCTATGCATTGAAGTACTTCCTCTGGATAGTAGAGTCATGCCATTGATTAACAGGATGATTAGAGATTAATAGGATGGATATTTATTTCAAGAAAAGGAAAATCAAAGAAAAAAGTCCCATAAAATGTCTTTCAGGACCTGTTGCTAGCAATTGTAGTCTTTGCAAGCCTAGAGAAAAAAAAAAGTGCCTTTATTGAACTGGAATGACAGAACTTGAAATTTTTAACACACCTTTGTTGGTGAAAATTTTAATATATACATATATGCTTCAAATTTTATTTATGAAAAAATACGTATATCTGTAATCAGTTTTTAATGGCACTAAAAATACTCAGAATCTTTCAAAGGCAGCAAGGACAGTGCCTGGAGGATGGTCAAGGTGTTCCTCTCTCTGAGCTGATGACCAGCTGGGGAAGGAAGAGCGCAGTAAGGAACAGAGACGCCTGGAGACGCTCATCAGGGGAACGACCAGAACATCGAGGCACATGGTGGCCTGGCTCCCAGAGCACAGATTCCCATGGAATAGAGTTGGCTGCTTTTTAATTTGTTCCTCATTCTACTGTGTGTTTAGGGGTGACAGAGAGACTCTGCCTCTCTTTCATGTTTAAATGGTGCGAAGAACAAGGTTGTGTGTGTGAAACCAGCTTATGGTGGATAGCAGACTGGGGGCAGCTTTTGATGAAGCTCCGCCTGTGGGGGCCCCCACACAGTGTGGGGAGACAGGACAGGGCCTGTTTGCAATTTGTTGGCAGGTCTTATATAGTGCAATACTGGGAGGAGGATGCAGGAGGTTCCCTTTCATGCCCATATGACTACCTACTTTAGAATTTTTCTGTAGAACATTCTAGAGCTTTGAATCCAGGTCAGAGGCTCCAAGCAGACAAGGATGGAAGTTTATATAAACAGTATCCCAATGCTTAACAAATTGGTGATCGTTCAGGTTCTGAATTTATTCAGGAAGCACTTGGAGAATGTGACATTTCCATCGTTTGCACTGGATCGTACTTTGTTACCTCTCCCCCCTCAATAAAGTAGTAGCTCAAATTCTTCATATAAAAATGGATTCTACTCATCTGGGTACTTTATGAAAGCACAGAAGAAAGGCAGAAAGTGGAACATAATCATTAAAGATTAATATTTGAATCTCTGACTCTTAAACTGTAGATTTTATTGGCCTGTCATTTTTTTTCTCCCTTGAAAAACTCCTATTTTAAAAAGTTGACTGGAACAAGACTCTAAATTTCTGGATCTAGATATGAAATGAAGCCACTCATGTAGTCCCATGGATTCACACTAGAGATAAACAGCAAAAGATACAGGTAACCATAGTACTATTGGTGGAAAACATAGACAAATTATAAAGAAAAATATACAGTAGTTAGAAATCCTCAGCAGGGGTTCTCTAGTCCCTTCCTCTACTTCTGCCAATGTGAATACATTTTCTACCCTTTTCTCTCATGTTCTAAAATCTTGAAATACTGCTGGCTGATTGTTGGGTGTGAGACAGAAGGAAGGATAAACGAACAAGGTGCAAGTTCATAAAGAACATAATTCCTTTCCAAAACTTTCCTGAATTGATCAATGGAGAGCAGTGTAGACACAATTTGAAAACTATAAGCTTAGGACTTTGTGCCAAATATATTAAGTGAAAATATTTATATAAATATACATGTTTCATCTGAAAATAAATTAAAACTGACTTTTAATTTAGAGTTTTATTATAGGCATGTGACTCATCAAGTGATATGATGGACATTTTTGAGAATGCCCAGAGTAAATTTTCAGAAGTTGAAGTTTATGAAATCTAAAAAGGGATTGAAATGGCAAATGACCTTAAAAATAAACTCCCTGATCTTTCCTGGTGCCCTATATTAATCAGTAAGAAGTCTGACTTTCTGGAACGGAAGGAGAAAACAAGAAAACTTTTATGACACATCTACCTAGTAAGCAGGTAGACCAAATTCAGCTTTCATTAGTTAAAATTCAGGCAAAGAATTTGGAAGTCATTGTGTAAACTTCAAAGAATAACAAAAAACAAAACAAACACATGTCATTTTACCTTTATTACAGTTTATATCTTTTTCTTATTTGTTGAATGACAGAAACAATGAGAAATAAATTTGACTTCATTTAGCTTTTTCTCTATAATTCATCTTTTATAAAATTATTAAACTCTAGAGAGTATAGAGTTGAAACCCTGTAACTATCATAATTATCTAAATGTCTGTAGTACAGAAACAATTCCTAACCCCTTGTAAGTGATTAGTTCAAACAGCTTTGATCCAAAGTTCCAGTGTGACAGTAGAATTTGGATGGGGCTTTGGTGTTGTAACAGCTTTGATTGTGACCATGTGGAAGTGCAAAAGTCAGGGCTTATTTCTCCATATGGAATGGTAGGTAGGCTGACCACAGGTGAAAGTTATGCCATTTAGCAAATAACTAAATTGAAACTAGTCCTGAAGTTTGATGCTTTTTAAAAACAAGTGCTTGTGTAATGGCCCCAAAATACCTGGGATGAAATTCCCTTCTGCCTTGGGAATTACTAATACACAAAGCATAGGGAAGCACAGTCACTGACTACATGTCTCAGCATGTTAGGCATTTGTTGCACTGTCCAAATCATTTCCCTTCATCAGTCTGGACAAGCAAGGCTCACGAGTAAGAACTCTGGTGATCTGTTTTTTGGTGTGTGTGTGTGCATTTTCTACTTTTAGAGCAAAACATATAGCTTGCTGGTACTTTGTATACTACATTTTAAACAGGCCTTTTCTTCAACCCACTTGTAAGAAAAACAAGAGGTCCATTTAAGTAATGCTGCCTGGCAGTGAACGGAGCTCCTTTGTGCAGGAGATATGACACTTCCCTTCAGAGTGCCTCTCAATGTCATTTGCTGTACGTGTAGACACCCTTAAACGTGGTCAGATTTGCATATGAAACATTGTTTCTGAACATTTTTTTAAAAATTAAAGTATCACTGATATACAATCTTATGAAGGATTCACATGAACAACATTGTGGTTTCAACATTCAACCCATATTATCAAGTCCTTGAACATCTTAACTGGCACACAGTTTCTCATTCCTGTTTTCTAATTTTCTACAATATTTTCAAGTAAAATCCTGCTTTTCTACCTCTTAGTCAGTAAATTGTGGGTCCATTCTCTTTCCTGTCAGGCCAAAGAATGAAATTTTCTGTGTTGAGTTAACATATTTATTGTAAATAGATTATCAAAGTCTCAAAATATACACAGCATTTTGATTATTTTGAATAGTTCAGAACCTGCTTCAGGACCTTTCGGTATGTCACAGAGAATTTATGGGGGTTCCTTTTCTTTATATTGTTGGGTATAGGGCTGTCCCTCCATGAGAGGCCCAGTGGACAGAATGGCAAGCACATTGGTAGGGATTTTCCTGATTTTGCCATGTGGAACAAAATACCTTGAATTAAATATGCAAATATTTTTCTCCTTTTTTATTTCACTGGATTCTTTTGTGACTAAATTTCTAATTTAAATGAGGCTCTCTGCATCCAGTTATGGTAACGAAGAGAAATTCCATATATGAACATAAGAAAGGAAACTTTTTCCTGGTTTCTGTGAAACGTCATGCAAAAGTTGAAATTCTAAGTCACATGGCAACATTTTATTAATCATTATACTACACATATCACATGAAACCAGGACAGCCCCGGAATTCCAATTTTTATATGTGTATTGCAAAAACCATTCTGTCCTTTGTACTAACATAGGGTCATGGTAACTGGGATTTTGGAAAGGTAAAAATTTAAGAGTATTAAAAATTTCAATTCTGTTAGTTTCAAATACATTCAAACCAGGCTAACACTGTTACTGTGTTAACTGATTAGAGGAATAAAGATTACGATTGTTAATTTTCTATATGAAAATAAACTCTTTAAAGGGCTCAAAGATAATGTATGCACTGAAATATTAAATGGTGCCTTCCAAAGCCAACCCAAGCAAAAGAAGTTAGGTTAATGCTATCCATCGTCTGATCAAATGATTTTTTGTGTGTGGTCTTTTTTTTTTTTTTTTTGACAGGGCATCTCTCATGTTTATTGATCAAATGGTTGTTAACAACAATAAAATTCTGTATAGGGGAGTCAATGCTCAATGCACAATCATTAATCCATCTCAAGCCTAATTCTTGTCAGTCTCCAATCTTCTGAAGCATAACGAGCAAGTTCTTACATGGTGAACGAATTCTTACATAGTGAATAAGTTCTTACATGGTGAACAGTACAAGGGCAGTCATCACAGAAACTTTCGGTTTTGATCATGCATTATGAATTATAAACAATCAGGTCAGATATGAATATTCGTTTGATTTTTATACTTGATTTATATGTGGATCCCACATTTCTCCCTTTATTATTATTATTATTTTTATTTTTAATAAAATGCTGAAGTGGTAGGTAGATGCAAGATAAAGGTAGAAAACATAGTTTAGTGTTGTAAGAGAGCAATTGTAGATGATCAGGTGTGTGCCTGTAGACTATGTGTTAATCCAAGCTAGACAAGGGCATTAAAACATCCATGGATGCAGAAGATTTCTCTCAAAACAGGGAGGGTGAGGTTCTAAGCCTCACCACTGTTGATCCCCAATTTCTCACCTGATGGCCCCCCTGCGACTGTGCCTGTCTTAGGTTGTTCCTCCCTTGAGGAATCTTACCCGTCTCTGGCTAACCAGTCATCTTCCGGGGCCATACAGGGAAATGTAAAGTTGGTAAGTGAGAGAGAAGCCATATTGTTTGAAAAGGTTAGCTTTTTACTTCTTTGCAGATTTATGCCCTGTGGCTTCTATGCCCAGCACTTGTCTCGAGGTATCTTTACCACCTGGAGGAATTATGATACTCGGTAAATTCGATATGAGGCACGAATTCTATTTAAGGGTTGTAATTAGGAAGGAAGAAGAAAAGCTATAGAGGTAGCATATGGAAGAAAACATGGGAGGATTGATTATTTCTTTGCCATATCTTCTTGTAGAGTACCTTAAGCATGTATAGGTTTTAAACTACTAACTACCTTGCGCACACATATTAACATAATAGGAATACGGTGACATAAACTAAGCAAATCTATAATTACCATCCATCTCCAGTGAAGCCAAGAAAACCAGTTAGGCTGGTGTGGTCTTTTTTAAAAAATTTTATCAAATATACATTACAGTGGCTCAACACCCGCCCACTGCACCCCCCTTTGGTAACCACTAGTCACTTCTCAGTGTCTATGAGTCTACTGCTGTTTTGTTCCTTCTGTTTTGCTTTGTTTTAGATTCCACATGTAAGTGAAATCATTTGGCATTTCTCTTTCTCCACCTAGCTTATTTCACTAAGCATAATACCCTCTAGCTCCATCCATGTTGTTGCAAATGGCAGGATTTCTTTTCTTTTTATGGCTGAATAATATTCCACTGTGTATATGCAACACATCTTCTTTACCCATTCATCTATTGATGGACACTTAGGTTGCTTCCATATCTTGGCTATTGCAAACAGTGTGGTGATAAATATGGGGTGCATATATCTTTTGGAATTAGGGATTATGGTCTCTTTGAATAAATTCCTAGGAGTGGAATTCCTGGGTCAAACGGTATTTCTATTTTTAGTTTTTTGAGGAACCTCCATACTGCTTTCCCCAGCAGCTGCACCAATTTGCAGTCCCACCAACAGTGTAGGAGGGTTCCTATTTCTCCACAACCTCACCAGCATTTGCTATTTCTTATCTTTTGGATAATGGCCATAGTGTGAGGTGATTATTTCACTGTGGTTTTAATTTGTATTTCCCTGATGATTAGCAATGTGGAGCATCTTTTCAGGTGCCTGTTAGCCATCTGTATTTCTTCTTTGGGTAAGTGTCTGTTGTTCAGATCCACCATGCATTTTTTGATCAGCTTATTGTTTTCCAATGATTTTTAAAGGCTTTACAGAGCTATGTATCACCACATCAAATTTTAGATTTTCATGGACACATGGTTTTTGGCAGCTGATCAAAACTGAGCAAAACATATTTGTTACCATAATTACCTCTTACTGTTGAGCATCTATCTTAAGTCCTTACCTTTCTTTTATCAAGGAAGTTACTTTCAAAGGCAGGTACAACTTGGGACATTTTAGTGTGTTGCTCACCCTGAAGGACAGCACGGCGAAGGCTTTTTGAAGGTGATCAGAAGGAAATGCTCACGGTTGTGTTGCCGCCGGCCGGCATCCTCAAGCAGACGCCGTCTTCCACTTCAGTCACAAAGCAGACCAAGGCAAGCATGGGACACGCAGCTATGTGAGTGCACACAGACCTGCAAGGGCCAGGCACGACTCCTCCACTCAGTGGCACAACACATTGATTACATTAGATTCATTCTGAATATTTCACGTGGGGTTTCAGTTTCATTGAGCAAATTCAGGGTAGCTTTTAGGTGGGTAAGGTATCATACAAAAACATTAATCTCAGTCTGGATAAGAATTTACCCAGATTCAAAATGGAAGCTTCATAAGCCTGAAGACAGGGCATCTCTTATCACCCATTGTAAATTGCAGCTATTAATAGGTACTTTAACTACTTTTTGTTCCTCCACAGTATATGCTTTGGAAAAAGGATTCTTAATGATCAAGATGTAGTGTAAATCAAGACTGGTCAAAATACAATCTTTTGTTCTAACAAGATCCTTACAGTCCACTGTCATGCTATATAAATTATTGGTAGGAATTAATATTTCTTCCTTAATGTTAATAATTATCTTTTCCCCTTGAACAACAACACAAGCTGTTTGAGAATATGTTTTCAATATAAGAATCAGCACTATTTCTTACAATAAGTGAACTGTAACAGCATGAATTCTTCAGCGACTGTTCCTCACCTGTCAGAATGAAAGGTCACCCCAAGCACAGTCCATGGTCCATGATTCTCTTCGCAATATAACCCCATGATTCTCAAGTCTGGGGGTGCACTGGAAACACCTGGGGTACTTCAGTCTGGTTCCCGAGGCAGGCTCTGGGCATCCGGTCACTCTAATGTGCAGCCAGGGTAGAGCACCACCCATTCTAGCCCCTCCTGTTTGCTCCAGCCATACTTCTTAGCTCCAGGTGGCTGTGTGGCCTGGGCCTTGGAGCCTTGCACATTACCCTCGTGGCCAGCCACACCATGCTCCCTATCGTAAGTTTACTCATGGGAACATGGGGGCAGAGGAATCCTTTCCTTCTGTGGAAAAAGTCATCTAGAACCCAAAGCCCTGAGGATGCATCACAGTCCTCCCCAGCTATACCTGGCATAATGTCTAAAGGATCCCATGTCTTATTAACTTTTCAGGCAAGATCAGTGTCTCTAAAATGACTCCATATGATACTAAGTTGTGCGTGTGCAGCTGCAGCTATTTTCGGCATTTACAAAAGTAGCAGGTTCATCTGGCTCAATCTAACACTTTGGAAAGAATTACAGAAGTCACTCAAAAGAATTTCAAAAACAAAACAACACAAACTGTAATTGCGCTGATTTAATTTCCCTGAGATCATATTTCCTACGCTATACATGTACTGTCTGTCCATTAGACAAAGTGGCTCTCAAGCTTTACTGCATACACAGAGCAGCAGGGTATCTTGTGAAAGCGGTCCGCAGTAGGTCTGTGGGCCTGAGTGCCTGTCTCACAGGCTCCAGGGGAAGCTGGGGTGGCTGGTCCTGGGAACGCACTTGGAACAGCAATGCTTTCAGTATTTGAAAGGGACTCTAAGAACAGATTTATCTACAAATATAATATGAACAAAATATTAAAATCTCTAGTGGAGAATAACAGAGATGTTACCCTGCTCTCTATACAGACATCAATCTTTGGTTTCCAGTATTTCCATGTACTGATTAACTTTAAGGTCTTATTAAGCTTGTAGGCTTTAAGTTCAAAAATAAAGTGCTAGGATTTAAAAAAATGAAAGCATGGCTATATTTAAGAGCTTCTAAGAAACTTCTAAGAGCGAAAAATGGCCTTTGGAAAAATTCCAAAATTGTGCTTCATTGCATAAAACCTTGGTATTTACTTGATTGAAGGGAATGATTTTCAACATACAACCCTGTAGAACTGAGTCCCTCTGAGGGGGCATGATACCTGACTCTTGCACCTTAAAGAACCTCCATGCTTTGGGCTCTCCCCCGGCTCCTACCCACTCCTGACCCATGCAGCACAACAAGCACTGGCTTCTGGGAGAACATCATACCTGAAATCCAGGCATATTTGGTTAGACTGACAGCCTGAGCTCTGCAGGGTGTGTGGCCCCAGAGGCAGTGGCCCCCAGGAATCTGGCCTGAAGTGGCATCCAGAGAAAACCAGCAGCCCGAGGCTGCCGAGTGAACAGATGCTCGTAGCCAGAGAGTCCACTGGGCTTACTGCTTGCTTGCCGACCCCGGAGTTTCAGGGTTTGTTTTCTCCTGGATCACAAGCTCTGCTGTCTTTGTGTTTCTGAGCTCTCCAGGTTTCATTTGGGAGGGGCCTCGTCCTTTCTGTGAGTATTCATCCGGCCTTCGGTCTGAATCCTTCTTGGAACCAGACTGTTCCTGTGAACCTGTGCCTCTTGGAACTGTGCTAGCCTTTGGTCTGATTCCTTTTCAGAACTGGAAAGTTTCCCTTGGAACCGTGTGAGCCTTCAGCCTGATTCCTTTTGGAGCCATGCTGTTCCTGTTGAAACTCTGCTGTTTAGGAATTTTTCTCTTCACTCTAGAGAAAAACCTCTAAGGAATGGAATTTTGGTCATCAAAATGCTTCCAGGTTCACACCCAGCCACCCCTGTCCCCTTCTGGGTTCCAGGCTGGTTTTATATTTAAATTTTATGCTCCCTCCTCACACACAGTTAAGTAAATGGACCAACTTAACCAAATTTGATTTAGAAAATGCATGACCATTAAGGAGAACTCTTCATTTCCCCAAACTTACTTTTCTCAAAGCTGAATTGGACAGCCATGGCTCTGAAATTGTCCAAACTGAATAGGATGCATATTTTAATTGGTATTCTGAAGCTTCCAAACATTATCAAGAATGTAAAATTGTCTCTCTGCAAATGAAAATTTTAGACTGAGGCTAACAAATGATTAATACAAAAGGAAAAAGAAAATTTGGATTCTGAGGCCTTCCTTCCCCTCCCCATTTCCTTTGTCTACAGACACCTAGCGTCACCTTGTGCTCATGCCCCGGCCCAGGTGCCCTCTTCCTCGGTGTCCTGTGCACCCTCCCCCCTCCATCTGCTCTGCCCCCCACTTCCTCAACCTGATCCTCTTGCCATCCTCCTACTTCCCTCCAAATCTTACTACTCCCTCCTCTCCTGAACCTACTAAAACCTGCCCTGGAAGAGTTGAGTCTTCTGGGGATCCAAATAAACACCAAGTATCTTATGTTCCCTGTACTAAGGCTGAATCGCGAGCCATACTTAGAGCTGGGAGAACGCCACATGCTGTGATTATACAATGTTAATAGTCCAAACTTAGCTATTAATAAAAATGACCAGTTTCTGGCTTTCATGTTAATCAAAACGAGTCTGTCTCAGAATGATCCTTTTCTACCTCTGTGAGAAATTATAGGTATTTTTTACTAAACACAGCATGATCTGGATCTTACCTTAGCCCGGGGAGTCAGGGGGAAGCCAGGAATCTGATTGCTACCCAGGTCCCCAAGTGGAACCAGCACTCATGGCCTTGTTGTAACTTGAGAAAAGTCACAGGCTAGTTTTAGCAGAGCAACTTCTTCAGTCTCTAGGATTTGACAGCGTAAAAGCCCCCTCTTCACATATGCAATTTGACATGCAAACTGGTCCCAACTGATTGGTGTTTTATTAATGGGTCACTCTGGAAATCCTATGGTTGCTTCTCTTCTTCAACCCACCACTGTTTCCCATCCTGCAGCTGGCTACGGTTTCCCCTTGAAAGTTTTAACCCCACTGGCCCAGACGGGAAGAGGAGACTTTTAGGTAAATGAACACCACCTTCCCCTGTGACAAGACTTTGCCCGATCTTAACCTTCCCTGGGCCACTCTGACTTTGGACCATGCTGCAGGCCTGGCCTGGACAGCTGCCAGTGAAGCACACCCATTAGGAAGGAAGTCATTTTACTATGCCACCCGCCCCTTCAGGGCACCTTTTCATTCTAGCCGTGGCCCGTCATTCACACCCCTTCATTGTGTTTCCCCATGTTGTCCAAATTGATTCTACTCGCTTTTTATTTTGTCAGTCCCATCACCACCATAGCGAGGTCTGTGTAGCAACATTATGAAAATAGCCCCTAAGGCTAAGGCAACCCCCAAACTTGGGGGGCCACAAGGGCTAAACTCCTGGGCGACCCCTGAGAGGAGGGGGGCAATGATCCTGCCCACCGCTGTCACAGACTGCCCCACGCCGATGAGAGTGCCACTGGCCTGGGCACCGCCCACGGTCAGCTGGAGGTCTGTGATGCAGGTCCTGCCCACCGCAGTGGAGAAGGTCAGGAGGGTGGCAGAAAGGATGACAGCAGCCATGGTGTGCGCCGTGGCATAGAGCAGCAGAAGCAGGCAGGTGAGCACACTGGAGTGCAGCAGGATGGCGTGGGTGTCATGCTTGTACAGTCGCATGATGGGCCCCAGGGCAAATCCAGCCAGGGCCCCCAGGGCGCTGCTGTAACTGATGAGGTAGCCTGTCATCTTGGGCCGCACCCCAAAGCGCTCCTCCAGGGCAAGGACAAAGTTACTGTAGTACAGCATGACAGCCACGGCCATGAGCAAGCGCACGAGAAATAGGTCCCACATTGCAGAAAATACCAGGCTCTTCATGTCCTGCAGCATCAACAGGACTTCCATCCAGGGCGGCCTAGTGGTCTTCACGCTCGCCGCCCTCTCCCACGTGGCTGCTGCTTCCTGCAGTTCACAGTTGGTCTTTCCCAAAAGCGCAGAGTTCTTACCCAGCTGCTGGCCGCTGTTTGCGGGGGTGAGCTGTACTTCACTCCATGGAAAGAGCCAAACAAGCCCTGGCAAAATGGGACAGGGTCCGTGACCACAGGCTGCACGCACGGGGTTCCCAGAGCGCCCCCCAGGGGCACAAGCGAGCATTCCTGCTTCACCACTGACCTCTGTTCAGACTGACTGACCTCTATTTCTGAATCCAGTTTTTAACCATTCCCACAGCTACCTCTACTCCATTCGATATCAGGGAAAGAAATCTACACCTACAAAATGTTCACTTTTTTCTCAGCTCAAGAGCCTGTGATGATCATATCTCAGTTCTTAAGCTTTATGCTTACATTCTTGCCTTCATCACCTTTCTGGTTCTCTACCTACTCCAATCCCCCATCAATTCACCATCCAAACAAAGACTGCATATCTGTGCTCCCTACATGCTAAATCCTGTGCTAAACTCTAGAAATATATTAACAGATGAGACAAGGCCTCTAAAATCCCTGCCCTCAAGGGGTTAAAATCTAAAAGGGAGTTTGGACAAGGAAACAGGCAACCGGATTACATTAGCGCTGTGTTGAGGTGGCACAAGCTGCTATGCACAGAGACAGCTGGCCTTGGCTTGGCAGGTGGGTAGGGACAGCTCAACACCAACAACTTGAGTACATGCCTGGATCTGCTCCCTATCAGGAACCCCATGTGTTCCCCCCCCACCTTACAACCTCTGGGGGTGCCGTGCTCATAGACCATGACACATGACCTTACCCAGCAGTTCTGATCCCCATGCAGATAACCCTACCTTCGCCCCCACGGGACTGGCACATTCCTGACTCGGTGGCTTTATTTATCCCATGCCATCCAAGTAGAATGACCTCTTGCCAATCTATGCCCCCAAATTTTCTTAAAATGAAATTCAAGCTTACCACTCTAGGATATCTTTCCCTACGCATGCCTGCCAGGATCTCCACCTGGGCGTCAGGCACGAGGCAGCGTGCACAAGGCCCACACTGAAACGTGGCAAAACAGGGATTTGAATCCAAGTCTGTCCAGCTGCACAGTTTGAGTTTTTAACCATAGAAACAGAAGTCATGGAGATAAGACATGAGAGGCCTTTCTCAAGTAAAGGACAGATTAGAGTAAGGATAGAAGCTGAAGGGATGAAAGAGTTGAGGAAGGCAGTCATGGCTGTTGATGAGAAAAGTATGGCCAGACTGGAATGGGAAAATAGCAACCCCGTGTGCCCACGGCCCTGGGAGGCCACCGCCCTGACACGCTGCCTGCTGTTAGGCCCGCCTCTCCCTTTCCTCCTCTGCCACCTGCCTACCCCATCTTCAGTGTGGAAAAAGAACTCCCTACTACTTTAAGCCACCATCACTGGGAAGGCCTGCAGCTGAATGTATTCCTACCTGACCCAGATCCCTTCCTAAGCTCACGTTAGGGCAACACACAAAACACTATCTTTGGAGACTCCAACATAGAACTTCATAGGTGTGTACTTTGTTTATACAGATTTCTGACTTCAAGGGCTATCACAGTTGTGTACCTTCCTTTAAATGGGAAGTCAGCTGGCCACCTGCTTGTGCTGAAAGTCATTTTACCTAGATATACCCTGACCCATCACACCTCACCTCCTGGCTGAGGGTGCAGGTTAAACTTCTGGTAGGAAATCATCAAGTATTCCTATGAGATTGAGATTAAACTCATGAACTTTGCTTCCGAATGTGATATCCTAGCCCAAGATGGAATTCATCATGCAACCTGCATCCTTGACTCCGAAGGTTCAAAAAGCTGCAGGAAAGTAGAATATCAATCATTATGTGTAAGGAAACCTGAATAGCATGAACCCTCTCATTTACAAGGTTGTTTCTCTAAGGGTCAGCCATAACAGTCTCGGGGTAAAGAGGTTCGTCCCCTTGCTTTAAGCAACTGGCCCTGCATCCAAGGAGAACACAGTGAGAGACACACACAGTCCTGCATGATTCCTTATTCATCAAATATTACTGAACACTAGTTACATGCCCGGCCTGTTCTGGGCAGGGGCACTAGCAGTGAGGAAATCCCTATCCTTGTGGAGTTTATTTTCTGACTGTGTGTGTTGGAGGTTGCTGGGGAGGGGGGCAGATACGATATAAGCAAGAAAATAAATTGATAATACACTTTCAGAAGTGCTATGAAGAAAACTGAGTTATTCTGAACAGAATGATCAGAGGAGGCCTCTCCAAGGAAGCAAGTATTTGAGGCTAGAATGATAAGAAGAAACAAGCAGTAAAGATACATGGAAAGAATGTTGTAGGTAGAGGAAAGAGCAAATTTCAGTGCCCTCCTGTGAGAGTAAGCCAGGCATGGGTGAGGCTGGTCCACCGCCATGCCAGCCATGAGAGACACACACATGCTTCAGCATGAAGGGAAGCCATGGGGTCCACAAAAGGGGACACAGTCAAAACTTTCATTTCTGAATAATAAGTCTGCCTATTCTAGGAGAACAAATTGTAAGGAGATGAGAGAAAAGCAGGCAGACTGGTCAGCATGAATGCATAAGCCAGTCTTCTCATGATTAAATGTCAACTTACCAGCATTGAGAATGAAGACAGAAGAACAGATGAAGGCTGTGAGATAAAACCCGCCGTCTAGCTCCGTAAGATATCCGCCAACGATGGGGCCCAGGATGAAGCCCACACCAGATGCCGTGTTGAGCTTTCCCATCACTAGTGGCCGTTCCTTCTCAGAAACCAGATCAGACAGCAGAGCCCTCGAGATGGTCTGTGTGTGTTTAAAAATGCCTGCAAGGGGACCAGAAACACTTTCAGTGACTCTCAGGGCATAATCACTATGAAAGGCAGAGAATAAAGAGCTTCCACAGGGACTACCCACTGCCATCCCAGCCAGCACCCAGTGTCGCCTCAAAGTTCTAATCGCTACTGCTGTTGTCCTCTCCTTACATAAGCTCTCATCAGAAGCTTTGCAAGCACAGAGAGGCCTTCTCTATACATACACATGCGATTGATTTATTTTAAATGAAAACACACATGCGGGGCAAGAACTCACCCACGGGGACTCTAGCAAGGGCAAACAGGAACACACTGGTAGATGCTCCAAGAATAAGATAACCCAGGGCGCTGAGCAGAATGCACGCCAGCAAGGAAGACCGCCTTCCCACCACATCGCTCCAGCAGCCCTGTGGAGAGCAAACGAGGAAGCGGTCCTGTGACTCACTGAACTCACCAGCATCACCACGGAAATGCCCCCCAAATGTGGCCCAGTGGGAAATGTCAGGGAATATGGCATAAGATCCTCAGATGCTCAATTCTGTTGTGTCATTTGAGTAAGTTTTCTCTGGTTTCCACACATGGAATGGAAAAACACAACACAGTTTTTTTTTTTGTTATCATTAATCTACAATTACATGAAGAACATTATGTTTAGTAGGCTACATCAGAATAACTACATCAGAATAAAACTGAAGGAAAAAAATTGTGTGAAAAGTTACCTCTTCACCAAGTCACCCCCACAAACCCCATTACAGTCACGGTACATCAGGGTAGTAAGATGTTGTAGAATCACTAACAACACAGTTTTTCATCATCAAAAAAAGCATCTAGGATAATCTGGTAGCTAAGAATGGATGGGGAAATGGTGAAGTACAATTCTTAAAACCCCCTTTTCATCTTCATTCTCACTACTTCATGTAACAACTCCTCAGTAACCACATTCACTGTTAAGAAATTTAGAAAATACTAGAAAATAAATAGAAAAATACCTCATAATCCCCAAATTTGCATGTATCTACACTCTATTTTGTAACTTGCTTTTCCACTTAGCAATATATTTTGAACGCAAGTCCATGTCATTAAAAATTTATCTGTTTTTTTTTTTTGGCTTCATAGTGTCTGTTCCCCACTATCATTGACAACTGTAGATTTTATCATTAATTTTGTCAGTATGATAGATTTACATGACTTCTCATTGCTCTAATTTGTATGTCTTTGATTACGATTGAGGTAACTTTTCACACAATTTTTTTCCTTCAGTTTTATTCTGATGTAGTTGACATAGAGCACTGTTTATGCTGAAGGTGTACAGAATGACTTGACTTACATGTAGTACATAATGATTATACACAATAAGTTTGGCTGATATCCATCATCTCTCATAAAGACACACAAAAGAGAAAAAATATTTTCATTGTAATGAGCTTTTAGAATTTACTCCTGTAGCAACTTTCAAATACACTGTACAGCACCGTTAGCTATAGTCATCGTGTTGGACACTACAACCCCAGACTTACTCATCTTGGAACTGGAAGCTTATACCTTTTGACCACCTTCCCTTACCCCCGAACCGCTGCCTCTGGTTTACCACAAATCTGATTTTTTTTTTTTTTAGAATACACATATCAGGGAGATCACACAATATCTGTCTTTCTCTTCAGACATATTTCACTCAGCATAATGCCCTCAAGATCCATCTGTGATTTTGCAAATGGCAGGATTTTTTCTTTTTATGTCTCATTGGTTATCCATTATAGGTATCTCACAACTTTTTTATCCATTCACCTGTTGAAACATTTGCATTTTTTCTATGTCTTGGCTATTGTAAATAATGATGCAACAAACACTGGGGGGTGCAGACATCTTTTCAACATAGTGATTTCATTTCCTTTGGATATATACCCAGAAGTGCAAGTGTTGGATCATACGGTAGTTCTACTTTTAATTTTTTGAGACGCCTTCATACTGTTTTCCATAGTGGCTACACCAATTTACATTCCCACCAACTGGGTACACAGGTTCCCTTTTCTCCACATCCACGCCAGTATTTCTCATCTCATCTATTTGATGATGGTCATTCTAACAGGTGTGAAGTGATACCCACTGTGGTTTTAGTTTGCATTCACTTAATGATTAGTGATGTTGAGCCCCTACTCATGTACCTGTTGGTTATTTCTGGAAAAATGTCTATTCAGGTCTTTTACCCATTTTTAAATTTGATTATTTGTTTTTCTGCTATTGAGTCATATGAAGTTCTTTGTATATTTTGGTTATTACCTCTTATCCAATACAGGGTTTGTAAATATTTTCTCCCATTCTGTAAAGCTGCCTTCTCATTTTGTAGATCATTCCTTATCCTGTGCAGGTTTTTGATTTAATGTGCTCCCACTTGTTTATTTTTTATTTTGTTGCCTGTGTTTTAGGTGTCATATCCAGACTATTTGTTTTCACAACCCAGGTAAAGGAACTTTTTTCCTATGTTTCTTTCTAGGAGTTCTTTGGTGTCATGTAAGTCTCTAGTTGTAATCCCCTATCTGGGAAGCCTTGGAGTCTTGCCAGGCATGGGCTCCCTTTTGAACCATTCTTGTTGCAAGTAAGGAAGTTTGGTTAACACCATGGAGGTGGCCCAGGATGAAGCCTGCCCAGGGGTGACCAGCAGAGTCCCCAGTGCCTCTGAGTCTAAAGGCAAGGCAGGCAGAGAGGAGGGCAGAGTCCCAGGGGCTCAGACACATGCAAGGGAAGATCTGAGCGGAAGCCAGTGAGGAGGAAGGACAGAGAAGGCTGATGCTGGTTCTGCCTGGAGTCCTGGGAGGTGGGGAGGATCACAGACACCTCAGCGTGTGGAGGGCAGCTCATTACAGCTCATTCTTTACTTACATATATTCAGCACTCCATAGCAACACCCTTAGCCTTTAGCCAGAGCAGCCTCCCCAGGCGGCTGGAAGTCTGGTTACAAAATGCAACCAGAAGTCACTGGGTGAAGTTTCAGAGAAAGTTCCTGAGAGGTGGGGGAGGGGAATGGCAGACTCGCCTGTTTCTCTTCATTGTCCCTCATTCCTTCTCAGGACTTTCCCAAGATGCCGGAGGTCAAGCGGCCATCTGGCTAAGGACAGCTGAGCAGGATGCTGGCAGGCGCCTGGGCCACTAGCAGTGCCTCAGACACTTGGACAGCCTCAGGCAATCGGCTTTACTTTTTCTCTTTATGTTTCTCACGTGCTATGTTCCACACAGACCTGCACAAGCCTAACTAATAAGTCCGGTTCAATGACAACATCTCCATGCTGACCCATTTTATACACTGAGGTTGTGGGTGAGACTGTTTAAAAAAAAAATGTAATTGCCTTAAAATAAAAAAGTGCTAAACACTACACAGCGATGTTGCACTGTCTGAGAAGGGTCAAGAACAGGGGTTCCATTGCTGCATGGTTCCTGGATGATGCCCCTTTCCGGACTTGGCTAGCAGGTGGTCATACTGCATCCTGTTTCCCTCATTCCTCGGGGATGTCCAGTGACTTTTCTCCACCCTGTCCAATTAACCATGTAATCCGAGCCTGCCTTTCTTCCTTGCCAAAAGCCAACCATACTTTTCATGCCCTTTCCCCATTTTTACTGATGTGTGTCTCTTTTTCTTAAGGACCAGAAAGATCTCGTTACATAAGATATAAACTGTCATAAAATTCCTTTGTAAGACATAAGGCAAATCCTCCTAAGTATTGTTTTCCTTCTACCAATGTTATGAATCCTTTCATCCAGGTTTCACTTCAATGGATTTTAGAAATTCTCCATTCTTTCAATCTCAGTAAGACATCACTGGCCATTTTGTGTTCACAGGGCAGTGATACAAGCTGGTAATTACAGGTTCTGAACTGCTATTATTATTCCTCATGCTGCAGACACGAGTTAACAATTACATATAGATACATAGCTCTATGCCTCAGTTTCCCTATCTTTAAAACAGGGATAATAGCATCTGCCTCAGAAAGTCTCCCCCCCTCTCAGCACTTGCTATGTGCTCATATAAAATGAGTCATTAAAGACCCATAACCACCAGACTGGTGGCTGAGACCAGTTATTATAAGGATTAAATGTAATAAAGTACTCAAAACAGGGCCTGACACATAGTAAGTACTTGATAAATGCCAGTCATTTTTACTAAACTATACATATTAAAAAATATTAACCGAATCTGAGCACATCTTTTCTTTAAAAAGATTTGTTTTTGAAACTAAAGTGTTTTTAGAAAAATTTATGATTAAAATATGTATTTATAGAAGTATTGGCTAAAAAGGACATTTTAATTAGGTATTCCTTCATTTAAAGGATTTCTAAGGAAGGTTCTCTTTAAATTACAGCTACAAGGTATATGAAAAGTGCTTTGTAAGCACTGACATAATAAAGCAAAGCATCAATTTGTAAAAGAAGGTTGGGCCATTGCTGGCAATAAAAATTCTCATAAAATGCCACTATGTGCCAGTGCTCTGATAAGTGCTAGTGATAAACATAAATAAAAAAATCAAGCCTGGTCTTTATTCTCAGGGAGATCAGAGTCCTGGAAAGGAAAGGCAGCTGAATAATGAAAATACACAGTGACATAACTGATATAATGTTACATAATCTATAAAGTATTTTGGTAGTGAGTTTCAAATAAAATGGGAAAGATGTTTACTGAGATGCAGCCTAAATTCTTCCCTCACAAGAAATAGCATGAAATATGACATGTTGCCCTAAAAGTAAGTGCATTAGTCTTCTATACAACCTGATATTCATCATCTATTTACTTTTTAGACTATTAAGGCAATGAGAGATGACTTTTGCGGAAAAAAATAATATAGGCTTAAGGTCTAAATACTGACATTAGATGACTTGGTCAAATTAAACTTTGTGAGTCTTGATTTCCTCTTATATAAGAGGAACATATCAAACTACTTCCCAGGGTCACTGTAAAGGTTAAAGGAGAATAAAATTATTATTATGCAAATTTAATAGATGATAGACTTCAAAAAAGACAAATCAGGAAGTAGCTATTTAGTTATTTAAGAATTCATTATGGAATCTGACTAATATTTTTTATACTTTAAAATATATTTTACAAGGAAGCCACTCTCGGGAACCAGTACTGTATATCGTGCTCACCAACTGTGAGACTTCTGGCCAGCTATTTGGACCAAGGTCAAGGCTGATCAATCTGTAGGACTGCATTGACTATTCCTCTGTAACTGGCTGAGTCCTGGAAGCCGAGGTCTCAAGGCCAGAGTGGCCACAGTGGTGCACACAAAGGAGAGGGAGGGGGCCAATCAGCAAAGGAGCCGGATTTCCAACAACTGAGTGGTCAGCAGCAGGAGTGACAGGATCAGCTCCGGGCTCTCAAGAACCCCACGATGTCCATGCACAACCAACCAGTCTGAATGGCTCACTCTGACTCTACACTAAAGTTTTATAATTAATAGGCTAAATAGTTCAAAGTGCACAATTTCAAATAGAATCCTAGGAGTCTGAATGGATTTGGTTATTGTCAATTAACAGAAACAAACAGAATTGGTAATAGCGTTTGTTTACAATCTTTTCTCCTAGAAAAAGTCAGCAGGGAATAAAGTTTTTAAAGTCAATTCTCTTTCTGACTCAGTGTGTTCCTTTTAGAACAAACCTTAGGCCCAGGGCTTCTCAGATGCTGATGAAGAAGAGAGATGACTAAAGGATCCTCCTTGTTCTAACAATATTGTCAATCTTCACTGTCTGTGTATTTACTTTTTGGTAAACCTCAAGCCCCCGATTTTACTTCAGCCATGATGGACGGAAAGCATATGGTTATGCTTTTAAAATACGTTGCCAGATAGAAGATAACTTACCACCAGTGTGCTAGAAAAGAGCTGCAAAATGCCGTAAGAGGAACCTGCAAAAAACAGCAATATCATCAATAAAATCAGCTAGAGCTGTGAAAAAAATGGATTAATGTGGCAGGGATAATCATATATTCTGAAACCTCTCTGAACATAGGTAGTCTAGGAGAAGAAGAATTACATTTGCTCCCAGTAATATTTCTAAGTATTGTAAAGATTCATTTTATCCCATTTTCAATTCCTTTTTGGTAATATTTAGCTACCAGACTGATTTGTTTTCAGGTATTTAGTTCAGGGGATTTAAAATTCCGTGCTCTGAAAACATGCAGTACTAACTACTCACCTATGATTCCAGCTATTGTTGGGCTTGCTCCCAGAGACTTGACATGAAGGCTCAGTAAAGGCACAACCATGCTCACACCAAACAGATCCTACACAACAAAACACTGGTTAACCTAAATACAAATGGAAGCCTAGATTTGAGCATCCATTTTAATTTTTATAAACTGATTTCATTAATAAAATCAATATCTAAATTTTAAGCAAAGAAGAAATCATAATTGTGTGTGCATGTGTGTGTGTGTGTGTGTGTGTGTATATTTATCAGGTTAAAGTTTTCAAGAAATCAAAATATGATGGATTATAACAGTTGCTACCTATCAACGGCCTGGATCTCCCTTACCTAGAATCCATTTTCACTGTATCTTGTTTGTAATCAGTCCTCAATAATCAAGCAGGATATGCTACAGAAGTAACTCAGATTATTTGTTTGTAGGTAACAAGTGGAAAAGGAGGTAGGGATCTGGTCATAATGCATATTTCTTGGCAAAGCAGTACCTGCTGAGCATGAATTTCCTCTTGGAGTTAAGGAAGGTGAATAATCTGGTACAGTTTTACAAGGTAATACCTGAAAAGAAAGTGTCAGTAAAGCAGGAGGAGAGAGAAGGAAGTAGTGAGGGAGGCCAGTGTTCTGCAGCTCTGTTCTGGAAGTGCAATGGGCTCTGGTATCAGACAGACAGTTCCCAATCCAGCTCCATCACTTGCTAAACATGTGGCCTTGGAAAGTTATTTAATGTTACCAAGCATCAATGCTGTCATTTGTAAAAAGTACGGATAATAATACCTCCCTGGTAGAAATACAATGCGTATTAAGAGGCATAATTAATGGTTGAGAAAGGTCTGAGATACAATACAAGCTCAGACATATTTTATTTTCTTCAGTTCTGGGGATAAGTATTGATCTTTTCTACTAGGTATTCTGAGTTAACAGAAAGACTGTAAATTTTTCCTTTTGTTCTTATTCCTACTTCATGTGGTTACCTGCTACAACTAGTTTAGGAAGAGAGAAACACATTGTACACACACACAGTTTTTTTTATATACAACCTGAATTTTTTTATTATAATATTGGTTAAATAGAAAGAAAGAGCTATATGAAAAATATATATATTTTTTGGCCCACAATTAATTTTTTATTTCCCCTTTTTCTTGGTGGCTATACATGTACCTAATTTTAGAAACATGAATTTCCAAATGCACTTTTCGTTGGTCCTTTTCCATGATTACATCTTTATATGGTCATATAGTTAATATACAGTGATCTTAAGTAGCTCATAAATTTATACTACCAGAACAAACAGTCTATTATTTAAAAATTTATTTTGAGTCTGAGCCAATTTCTTTTGGGCTTTACTGTCAGCTTTGTCTCATCAGCCTACTGAAGCTTTATATCATTTAGAAGACCCAAAATATATCAGCTATCTATTGAGTTTTCTTGGTCTTTCAGAAAATGAAACTCAATTGACTAAGATTTTTTTTTCCAAAACTCATTTCCCGTACCACTTGTCATTTAATATTTAACTGGGTATTCTAAATAAAAGTTGGGAGAGAAATACTTAAGCAGATAGGCCAATATCTATGGAAGGTAAGAATGAAAACAAAGACTTGTATGCAATAACTGATGAGCACTATTATTTTAACACTTTGCAAGCCTGAAAAATATTATCTTTTTCCAAGGATGCTGGCTGCTAGCTCTTTCCTCTCAGGAAATTTTGTTCTAAAACTGTCTTCTCCTTTAGTGTAAAAGGCAACTTCCCTTTACTTCTGAATCTAGCCTCTTGCACTTTAAATTTGGCAACTTAGTCATGTGCTTGAAACTATTTACAAGAAATCAAGTGGGAGGGGCCCATTTAAACCTTTCCCAGAACCTCTACATCTCTCAGTGAAAACTGATTAATACATTAAAAAGGCTCAGGATCTTTTTCAGGGTTGTAACCCAAATATTTCTTGATTTCTGGGTTATCTCAATAAAAATAAATAATCACCTGACTAAAGCTGATGACATGGAATACAAAGCTTACCAGGTATTTGGAGCAAAGAAGAGATTGAAATCATAGGTCTGAGTGCCATCTTAAAATGCAGCCAACAAGATCCTAAAGGGTCATTTTATCTTCCTTCCTAAACAAAAGCTGGAAGCACATATAAAAGCTAAAAACAGAACATTTTTGGTAAAGGACTTTAATATTGTTCCCTTCCTCTCCTAATTGGAAATGATATTCCCAAAATTCTTAGGGGTCTTTACATCTCTAAATACGTTAGAAATAATAACTAACTTACGTAAGATGTTCCCTAAAAAAGAGACTTTAGATCCTTCAAGGATACCCAAAGTGAATATATTTTAACTGTTTAAAGCATTTTTCATTTAAAAAATCCCTACTCTCTTCTAGCTTTTGGGAAATCTTACATTTTCCCTTAAGATATTAGAGACCTAATGATTGTTGCTGCAGACAAGGGCCCATGAACTACCCACACAAGCTTACTAACAAGGGTGTAAGTCCTTCCAGGCAGGTACTGGGTGTTACAGTGACTGGAGCCCCACAGCCCCTAACCGCATAGCAGGTTTTCATAAATTCCATGAGTAATAAATGGATGAATGGATGGCTTACTTTACCATACACTCAGCTTTCCCCTTCTATACGGGAAATTAATAGTAATTGTCCTCATTAAAACAGGACACACATGCACACACAAATCATGATAAAATCAAGCCTGCACTAGGCAATACATAGTTTTTTGAAAGGCAGATGCATATAATTCACCGTGATTTGCATTTGTAAGCATTACATCCACAGGAGTCCTGATGAAAATGCGCGTCATTCCGTCCAGGGGGTCATCAAAAGCCGCTTCCTGGTCCGGCACAAAGGCCTGTGTCTATCTACCACACCCACAGCCACCAGAGCAGTTCGGCTCGCCCAGGCACCGCTGCCCGCTGGCCTGCGTGCCGTGCACCTGCCAGAGCAGCGAACTTCCGGAGCCAGCGCTTCGCCCCGAGCCCCAGCACTCACCAAGAAGCCCACCAGGTAGAGACAGAGCCGGAACCCGCGGGCTCCGACGGTACCGCGGCCGGGAGTTCGCACGTCAGCCGCTGCCGGCCGCTCCTGCCGCGGCCCCGGGGCCGCTGAGGCCAGTCCCGGGGCCGAGTCCAGCCCGCCGCGGGGCCCTGGCTCCATGCGGCTGCGGGCTGGGGAAACGAGCTCTGCGCCCGACAGACCTGCCCGCTGCGCGCCAAGCCGCCCGCAGCGGAAGCGAGGGGCGTGCGCCTGCGCAGAGAGGTCGACCGCGGGCCGCCGCTGGGTGCTGTGTGCGGGCGAGGCTGGCTCTGCTCGCTGGCGCGGGTTCCGCCCCAGTTCGGGAGAGGCTGGCCTAAGATGAACTGGCGGAGTGGGAAGGACGCACCAGGTTTATGATGGTAATGATGATACTCTACATTTCCTTAGGGTAACGACCCCGCTGTCCCCGCCACTGGTGGGCGGGAGGGAATTGTAATGAGCTTCACCTCCGAGTGCAGGTGGCTGGCCCTCGGTGGTGACCAGCCCGTCCGGAAGACCCACAGACTTTGGGTTCTGAGTGGCTGGGCCCGACCGGAATAACGGGGCCCCGCCAGACTTCGGTGTGCCTACTTGAAAAACGAGGGAAAAATGCAGCCTAACCTCACAGCGTTGAGAGTTCCACAGGCTACTGAGCACGTTCCCTGGGATATGCATTGTGCGCAGACGGAGATGGTCTCCGCCAGAGCTCAGGTTACAGTTCCCTGGAGTAGTAAGAGTTTTAAGCACATGATAAGCAAACACGATAAATCAAAAATCATAATCCTACAATAAGCAAGAGACTAAAAACAATAAATAAAATAATGCAACAAATGATATAAAACAGCAAGATCTGGCTGTGGAGACTAAATGAGGTGTGGTGTGAGCTGCTTTGGAAAGGCAGCTCAGAGAAGGGGATGTGTAAGCTGAGAAGATTTGCAAGGAGGTAAAAGGGGCGAAGCTCTCTAAACAGGGAGATCAGGGAGGTAGGCAGGAGAGCAGATGATGCAGGACCTAAAAGGCCATGGTGGGCTTTGGGGCTTCTGTTCTGAGTGCAGTGAAGGGAATGAGGCAGTGCATGACACCAAACAGTGGGTATAAATCATATAGCTGCCAGACACATGGGGAAACAAGTACTTAATAACCATTAACAATGGTTACTAGCCCCTCTTTTATTCAGGGATTTATTTCATCACCTATTCCTCTCACTCTGGTATCAAAAAGAGTCAAATTTTACTGAGATTATGACTGGCAATCTCAATTTAATTGTGCAGGTTGCTCAATTACAACATCTGTTGAATTCAGTCTTACAAAGTTTCTCATGTGAAAGTTAGGGTGCTTGCTGTTTAGGAAAGAATGAGACACTGAAGTTTAGAATGGAAGCATGTGGCTGGATGCAGATGAAACTGACGATCCTTAACCCCCAGTTACTCTGAGCCTCATTTGCCAGTGGTAGTTTGCATTCCTGTATCTGAGGAAACTAGCCTTCCTGTATTAGTTCACAAAGTCACAGTTCACAAATCAGTTCCCAAAGGGCCCCTTGATTCAAGGGGTCTCTGGGTAAACTTAGGAAGGATCTTGCAACAGTCACATGAGTACATACCATAAATCTGCCTTCCAGAAGGCTGCAGCAATTACTAGAGGGCCTGCATCATGAAAAAGGAAATAACCAGGTCTTTGGGGAATTAATAGACACTGCCTCCAAATTGACACTAATTCTTGGGGACCCAGAATGCACTCTACCCCACCAGTAAGAGTGGACTGTATTGGTAGTCCTCAGGACCACTTCCTAGGCTCAGTGATTGGCTAGGAGAACTCACAAAACTCAGCATATGGTCATAGTCATGGATGAGATTTATTTTAAGAAAAGGACACAAAGAAAAATCAGCAAAGTGGCTTACCTGGGGCAAAGTCTGAAAGAAAATAGGTACAAGCTTCCCAGAGTCCTGTCCCAGTGCAGTCAGTCACACAGGGTGTAATTCTTCCAGCAATGAATTGTGATGTGTGGTCTGCAGGGATGTTCTTAAAGACTTAGTGCCCAGGGTTCTTATTGTGGGCTGGTTATATTGGCCCCCTCTACTTTGTACCTATCAAAATTCTAGATTACCCAAAGAAAAGCAGGTTTTCAACAGAAACCACATTGTTTGACAAGCAGTTTAGGCACACTGAGTCACTCTTATGAGTTAGGATGGCAGAAACCTCCCAAAATCTGAGCTCCCAGATGCCAGTCAAGGGACATTTTAAGCAGACTTTTCAAAGGATGGTAGTCAGGTCTGCTATGTTAACTCTTTTCTGAGTAGGACCTTAGATCAGTCAGGGGATAAATGGAATCTGTTTCAGGTTTGGCACACAGTGGGCCCATTTGATCATTGGATGTAGCCTTTTCTTATTTCCTCAGTTCCTGAATGTTGATTGAAATAATAAATGTGACATCTGATAGTATCTGCATATTAGCTCTCTGACACATAGGTGAGCCCCAGTAGAGTCAAGAAGGCTATATGGAAATCCCAGGAACTTCCTTCCTTGTCAACATGGTAAAACAGAAGCAACATTTTATTCCTAGAGCAATTAAAGAGATTGATGTTGACATCAAAGACTTATAAGAAGCAAAGATGGTCATACCTATCACATCCCCGTTTAACTTATCTGTTTGGCCTTTGAAGAAGTCAAATATGTCTTGGAGAATGACTATGTCAAAATAAGAGAAGTATCTGCATCAAGTCCAAGCAGAGGTACAAGGTACTGTACTAATGGCCTTATGGTTCAGTAGATCCAGGGACCCTCAGGGTATATGTGCCAAGCAAGGCTGTTGCCTGTTGCCTTCAGTGAGAGCTGCAGAAGAAGCACAGCACTGATCTCCGAGATACTGGAGTCCAAACAATTGGAGACTAGACAACTCACCATGAGACATCAGGTCACCATGTGGCCTGAGTTTCCCACCACAGACTGGGTGTTCTTTGTGCTCCTCTCCCTAATTAGTTACTTAGAGTAATGCTGTAATGAATTACCACAAATCTGTTGCCTTAAAGCAATAGAAATGTATTTTCTCATGGTACTGGAGGCCAGGAGTCTAAAGTCAGTGTCACTGGGTCAAAATGATGGTGTTAGAAGACCATCAAGCTTCTACTGGCCCTAAGGGAGAATCCATTCCTTGCCTTCTCCTGGTTCTGGTGACTGCCAGCATGCTTTGGCTTGTGGCCATATTACCACAGTCTTCAAAGTCAGCGTCTTCAAATCACTGTCTGCCCTGTCTTCACATTGCCTTCCCCTTTGTGTATAGGTCAGATCTCTCTCTGTCTTCCTCCTTTAAGGATGTATGTGATTGCATTTAGGGCCTACCCAGATAATACAGGATAATCTCTCCATCTCTAGATACTTAGTTTAATCACATTTGCAAAGACTCTTTGATATTTGCTGTATAAAGTAACACTCCCAGGATCCAGGAATTAGGACTTGGATATCATTTTTAGGAAGACACTTTTCAGCCTGTTACATCCACCTAGATATAAGTGTGTGTGCATCATCAAATGAAAGATCAATCTTGAGCAGTTTCAAAAATTACAAAATGCATGAGCAGGTGGCTTGACTCAGAATCCTTCAATGTTGACACCTGCTGCGCTGTCTCCTGTCCCTCCAGCCACAGTCATGGGCTCTTGGGGGTTCCTTACAACCAGTTGACTGAGGAAGAAAATACCTGAAGCTGGTTAGCAGAAAGATCTGCATGATATTCTGGCACCACCTGAAAGTGGACAGCTGTAGCACTCACTGTAATACTGTACAGGGGTCTCTGAACTAGAGTGGGGAAGAGGAATCTTACCATTGGTTGGAACTTCGAGTGGCATGGTGGTTGGTTACTCCGCCTAGGGTGAAAGATGGCTAAGAATAAAGTCAGCTATCCATGGGCATGTGTAACATGCAGGCTAGATGGAGCAGAGTTGGAAGATAAGTGACGAAGTCTAGAAAGGAGATATATGGATGGATGTCTCAAAGTGGCACAGGTCGTTTTGTCCTATGTGAATGCCCACCAATGGTTACCTACCACTGAGGGGCTTTTAGTAGTCAGGTGAGCAAAACTGGTGTACTGTTTGCATGTCCCCACCCACACCAGTCTTTCTTCAATGGGCCCATGTGCAATGTAGCAGCGATGGAGGCTATCCGTGGGCTCAACGACATGGCCTTACTCTTATCAATGGCTCTGCTTAATACCTAATATGCCAATAGTAGAGACCAGCAGTTGGTTCCTGCTATGCCACCATGCCATGGGGGAGCGACCTGGTAGAAGGCTCCTCTCACTATATATTTGCTGACCATTTTGGCAGCTTTAAGCTCTTTGGTTTTTAAGGTCTTTGATCCCCAAAGGATAATGAATCCACCAAGGGGCAGAACAAAAGTTCTATTTAATTAGGAGATAAGACTACCACCTGGCCATTTTGGCTTCTTTATGTCACTGACATTGGGCCTCTGCTGTTATGGAAGGTGCAGAGATTCCTCCTCAGTAGAATAAACAAACATTCTGTTTTCGTTCTTTGTTCATAATACTTCCGACTACACCACTACCCATGGGCTCACAGAATACCTTATCTACCAGTACGGCATTTCACATAGTATTGCTCCTGACCAATGTACTTATTTTCCTACAGAGGGAGTGAATCAGTAGGATCATCTGTATTAAATTTATTGATCTTATCACATTCCTCATCACCCAGAAGAAGCTGGCCTGATTGCATAGAGAAATGGCTTACTGAAGGTTTAGTTACAGGGCTAGATGGGAGGTAACACACTAAAAGAGTGGTGTTCTGTCTTAAAGCATATTGTTTATGTTTTGAATCAGGGACCGTTACATGGTACAGCGCTCCCACATACCCAAGAAGGCCTAGTTTTGGAATCACATGATGGAACTGACTGACTCCTCTCACTATCATACCTGATAGAATATTTGCTGACCATTTTGGCAACTATAAGCTCTTTGGTTTTTAAGGTCTTTGATCCCAAAAGGATAATGAATCTACCAAGGGGCATAACAAAGGTTCTATTGAATTAGGAGATAAGACCACCACCTGGCCATTTTGGCTTCTTTATGCCACTGACATGGAAAGAAAAAGGGTTTACTCTACT